CCCCACACAAAATAAATGACCAACAGTGGCACTAGCACACTACACTATGATTTCCCACATCTTTAATCATTTGCTGAAATAATTTTAAGTTTTCAAATCGAGAGAAAGAGTGCATTTTTATCCAAAGGACATTTTTTGCAATCATTTACAAGTTATGCTGAACACATCTAGGTTTTAATGTTGCCTACTGTACCTGCCATAGAACAAAAGCCCTGCTCATCTGAAACGTAAAGTACAGAAATCCATGTTTTACCTACACAAAGAAGGCTAACACTCAGAAAACAGCACTTACATCTCCATGTTAGATTAGTCGTTTAGAACGCCTAGCTCAAGTGGAAAGAAGCATGTGAAATCCTTTAATGCTGGGGTGTTTTCAGCAGGGCAAAACATTTTGGAACGTTCAGATATAAACACAGTATGTAGAACAAACACCCCTCCCTGAAATGTAGAATAAGGAGTCATAACGGCTCTATTTATGACATTTCTATCCACAATGTTCAACACCGTTTGGCTACTGACCGTGGCCCTGGAGTGGCGTTGTTGCGTTCAAAAGGGTGGCGTTTTCCACGCTTATGGTAATGTAGTGGTGGCTGAATCTACAACAACAGTGTCAAGCTGCTATCAGAGGAGGACACTGACCTTTTAATAATACCGCAACAAAAGGTAGAGGGGTGAAAGACCTTTTGAAATACATTCGATCGGGGAGACATGATTATTCTCTTAGAACGGACGTAAACTGACATTATAGAGATGCAGCAAAGTAAGCACAGGTGACTAGCGTTATTATAGCTCGGAGCAAATTAGTCACAAAGACAGCATCCCTGGCATCTCACTGGCTCCTACTCCCTGTAACCATGACGACGGACCGCTGACAACTAGGACACCCCACTCCACTCTACATACAAGTGTGTGCACCTGTGTATGTGAATTTGTATGCATGTGCCCCTGTATTTCCAGGGTATGAGAGCCAACAGACAGCACCTGCTACAGCCTAGGGACGTAGACTGTCAAATGCTTTTTCACAAGAACACATACCATCGCGACGACATCAAAACATTAAAGAACATTAACATGAATATGTTATAAAGGTGAGTGAGTCAGTTTTGTTACGTGGTCTGGGGCGAGGCTAGACTGGGCATGCTCAGACAGCGTGGTGCTGCTAAGGCAACCACATCTAGTCTGATGGCAGACCAATCTGGAGTGGAGGAACGGAACACTGGCACGCAGAACGGATGCACACACTTACACACACACACCTGCTCGTTGTCGCTCTCCCCTCTCTCAAAAACAAACACGTTTTGGTAGAGCATCTGCTATCTTTAGGTCATCCATCTCTAAATTGGCTATTACTCCGGCTGTCAAAACGAATAGGCAGCACCTCAATTGCACATCTTCAGCATTTCTTTCAGAATGCAGCGGTGGTGTTTATAATGGAAATGCTAGTGTATCGTTTTGTCATTGGTCATTCTCTCGGGAGGCAAGCAGTGCAGAACCATGCAATTAAGAATGGTAATATCTTACACCTGTCAAACTTTAGTAATATCCTTCATTTCAACAGTTTCTGCTACAGAGAGGGAGGAGGAGAGAGCGGCTGAGGCATGGGAGGGGTGTGAGCTAACCTTACACAGCCTGAACAGGCTGCAAGGCAGCGCTCGCTAGGGGTGGGGAAATGCCTCCCATCAATCTATCTGCAAAGCTGTCACCCTGCACAACCCTCTCTAGGTTACGTTCCAAGTGGGACCCTATTGCCTATGTAGTGCACTACTTTTGACCGGAGCCCATAGTCAAAAGAAGTGCACTACATCAGGAATATATATATATATATATATATATATATATATATATATATATATTACCAGTCAAAATTTGGGACACAGCTTCTCATTCCAGGGTTTTTCTTTATTTTTACTATTTCCTACATTGTAGAATAATAGTGAAGACATCAACACTATGAAATAACACATATATAAATCATATATTGAACAAAAAAGTGTTAAACAAATCAAAATATTTTTTATATTTGAGATTCTTCAAAATAGCCACCCTTTGCCTTGATGACAGCTTTGCACACTCTTGGCACTCTCAACCAGCTTCATGAGGTAGTCACCTGGAATGCATTTCAATTAACAGGTGTTCCTTCTTAAAAGTTAATTTGTGGAATTTATTTCCTTCTTAATGCGTTTCAGTCAATTAGTTGTGTTGTGACGAGGTAGGGGGGGTATACAGAAGATACCCCTATTTGGTAAAAGACCAAGTCCATATTATGGCAAGAACAGCTCAAATAAGCAGAGACATTACTTTAAGACATGAAGGAACTTTGAACGTTTCTTCAAGTGCAGTCGCAAAAACCAGCAAGCGCTATGATGAAACTGGCTCTCATGAGAACCACCATAGGAATGGAAGACCCAGAGTTACCTCTGCTGCAGAGGATAAGTTCATTAGAGTTACCAGCCTCAGAAATTGCAGCCCAAATAAATGCTTCACAGAGTTCAAGTCGTAGACACATCTCAACATCAACTGTTCAGAGGGGACTGTGTGAATCAGGGCTTCATGGTCGAATTGCTGCAAAGAAACCACTACTAAAGGACACCAATAATAAGAAGAGACCTGCTTGGGCCAAGAAACATGAGCAATGGACGTGGTGGAAATGTGGCCTTTGGTCTGGAGTCCAAATTGGAGATTTTTGGTTCCAACCGCTGTGTCTTTGTGAGATGCGTTGTGGGTGAACGGATGCTCTCTGCATGTGTAGTTCCTACCGTGAAGGATGGAGGAGGAGGTGTTATGGTGTGGGGGTGCTTTGCTGGTGACACTGTCTGTGATCTATTTAGAATTCAAGGCACACTTAACCAGCATGGTTACCACAGCATTCTGCAGCGATACGCCATCCCATCTGGTTTGGGCTTAGTGGGACTATCATTAGTTTTTCAACAGGACAATGACCCAACACACCTCCAGGCTGTGTAAGGGCTATTTTACCAAGAAGGAGAGTGATGGAGTGCTGCATCAGATGACCTGGCCTCCACAATCCACCAACCTCAACCCAATTGAGATGGTTTGAAATGAGTCGGACCCCAGAGTGAAGGAAAAGCAGCCAATAAGTGCTCAGCATATGTGGGAACTCCTTCAAGACTGTTGGAAAATAATTCCAGGTGAAGCTGGTTGAGAGAATGCCAAGAGTGTGCCAAGCTGTCATCAAGGCAAAGTTTTTTTTTTTTTAAGAATCTCAAATATAAAATATATTTTGATTTGTTTAACACTTTTTTGGTTACTACATGATTCCATGTGTTATTTAATAGTTTTGATGTCTTCACTATTATTCTACTATGTAGAAAATAGTGAAAATAAAGAAAAACCCTTGAATGAGTAGGTGTGTCCAAACATTTGACTGGTACGGTATATATATATATATATATATATATATATAAAAATAACAAATTCAGGTAGGTCCCTCCCAGTTTCATTCCGTTTGCGACAGGTTTTGCAACAGAATCGGCGTAATGAATATGCCCCTGGACACGCATGCTCACACCACCCTAATACTGGAGCAATGAGGGGCAGAGAGACAACCTGCATCATAACTGTGGCCATGGCCCCACTTATACGCACAGGTGCACACACACCATCTGTCCTCCTGACACGGTTAATAGACAAACTGTAGAGCAGTACTTAGTGGTTGATTTACAGAGCCCAGCTGAGCAATCTCTATGGAGTGTCCTGGAAGACCTCTTTCTCTATGTCTGCTCAATACTGACTCGACTCAGTAGTACAGTGTAGTACTCTAGTAGTACTCTACCGCTCTCTGCTGGCTGCGATAGGCACTGCACCCAAACACGCACAGCAACACACTGTACTTCCATTCCTGTCTGTATGTTGATCAATACTCGGAGTGGGGGAAATATTAGCTGGTTTCTAGTTTCTCTGAACGTTTAGTTCACAAGGTCAAGCCCCGACTTCATTCAATAGATGGCAACAACACTTTGACGAAAAACACAATTTTACCTCCGAACTTAGAGATTCTGCTGAATCACCACAAACATTTTAAGGGGATAAATGTTCACTCTTTCGGTGGTGAACTGCCAACAGACATCATTCTAGACAAGAGTGTGTTAGATAGGTTAGAAAATGTGAAAAATAGAGCAAGGATGAGAAGCCAAGGAAGCTTTCCACACGGTTAGAATAAGAAAGGAATTAGTTGAGCTCTTCTTATATTAATCTATCACTTCAGCAGGTTTTTCAAAAACATAGCCGTAATGTTTTTATGAACAAACACAATAAACCCTTGCATCTCCAGTCAGTTTACTTTTGTTTCCTATGCTTTTGAAAAGCATGAGCTGGCGCAGACCCCAAAAAGTTAGTTAGCTGCTGACTAACAGCGAGTAAACTGTAGGCTATAAAAATAAAGACAGATGCACACATATACAGTGCTATGAAAAAGTATTTGCCCCCTTTCTAATTTTCTCTACTTTTGCATATTTGTGATACTGAATGTTATCAGATCTTCAACCAAAACCTAATATTAGATAAAGGGAACATAAGTGAACAAATAACAACAATTACATATTTATTTCATGAACAAAGTTATGCAACACCCAATTCCCCTGTGTGAAAAAGTAATTGCCCCCTTACACTCAATAACTGGTTGTGCCACCTTTAGCTGCAATGACTCCAACCAAATGCTTCCTGTAGTTGTTGATCAGTCGCTGTGGAGGAATTTTGGCCCACTCTTCCAGGCAGAACTGCTTGGAAGAGTGGGTTTTCAAGCATGAACTGCTCGTTTCAAGTCCTGCCACACCATTTGGTTGGAGTCATTGCAGCTAAAGGTGGCACAACCAGTTATTGAGTGTAAGGGGGCAATTACTTTTTCACACAGGGGAATTGGGTGTTGCATAACTTTGTTTATGAAATAAATATGTAATTGTTGTGTTATTTGTTCACTTATGTTCCCTTAATCTAATATTAGGTTTTGGTTGAAGATCTGATAACATTCAGTATCACAAATAGGCAAAAGTAGAGAAAATTAGAAAGGGGGCAAATACCTTTTCATAGCATCGTATAAGCTCCCAGTAATTTCTTAGGTAAACCACACAATTAATTACTGGGAGCTTATAGAGTGCAAAACAATTTTTTATAGCCTACAGCTTTTGACAGATAACCTTCTGTTTCTTAACCCCCTTACCCAGAAAACATAATCAATCTGATAATGTCCAGCATCAGAGAAAACCATAGTCTCTCCCATTTTAGAATTGCCAGTGACAATGGTGTCCCGCCCACCTATCTTGTTTCCCTGCATGTCAGCTTTCAGTTCAGTAGACCACAGGCACATTGAAGGCATTGGCCCGGGCCAAACGTGTTGCAGAACTGGCTGTCACAATCTCATCGCAGATGTCGGCTGGCTTCCTCGCTGGCGTTTCATCGGTTGATCGCGTCAAAGAGTTCCCTTCGTCCAATGGTGTCGCAGGCTGCTGTGAACCTTGACCAATCGAACTGTACTGTTCTGTTTCCTCAACCAGTGGGGTGGCAGAACTCAGCTAGTGTCCCGCCCCATGTCGGAGGGGTGATGCATGGAGGAAAAATTATATGCTATTCTATGAACATCTAGTAATGACAATGTTTTTTTCCTTCATTGCTCGTCGTCTATCTGAGAATTCCTGGGTTTGTGTGATTTTAAAATCAGTTTCCAGTTGTCATTTGGGGAGTGGATCACCTCAGTTATCTTTTTGTCAGCTTGTCGTTTTTAGTTTTTTTAGTTTCTTTTGCAGATGGCATTCTCGGTTGTGGCTGTGATGGCGTGAGTGGACCGATTCTTGTTCTGGTGGTGGAGTATTTAGGATGTGGCGATCTCGCCCCCTAGATGGCGCCATCCCTTCTGTGTCTCCAGAGCAGGGAGATATTCTAGAATAGAGAGGAGGTTCAAGACACCAAACTCAAACGCTTTCACTTCCTGACAGTGAAGACAGTGTCCACTCTACACTTCTGCTTTTGCTGGTTACTTGCCTTTGCTGCTCTTTACCTTTCCTGTTAATTTGCTGTTCACTTTCCTTTGCTATTCACATTATTTTGCTGTTCACTTGTCTTTACTGTTAATTTGCCTTTGCTGTATGACAGTCTCCCACAGGGTAAATACCTGTCAGTCTGTGTCTATTCAACTTTGTACCTGGGAAGGAAGTGACCTTGATGTGGATCACATGGCTGCTGTTCTTTTATGCTCATAAGAATACACCTGTATATGTGCTCCTGTACACCTCACCTCAGGAGATGATCAACTTTGTTCTGTTCTCACTCATTCTTACCTACTGGGAATGTTGGACGGGGGTGCTTTAAGCTTTCATGTCACTAAGTATAGTGGACTGTTACAACTCGTAAAATCAGTATTTCTCTCACATCCACTCTGTACTGGAAACAGCAGCATTGTGAAAGGTTCATGTGGTTTATGTTGGACAACAAGGCTTTCCAGAGCACACTTACCATTGTTACTGCAGTTCTGGTTGTCTTTGTCAGAGGCCTCCTCTTCAACCTAACATGTGGATAGGGAAAGGAGGAAGAGTGTGAGAAAAGAACCATCGGCGGAGAGAGAGGGAAATAGACAGTGTGCCTAATGTTGTAAAATCCATTGTCTAAAACTCTTACAATGGTGATGATATACAATGGTGAGGGCGGTAGGTAGCCAAGCAGTTAGAGCGTTAGGCCAGTAACTGTAAGGTTGCTGGTTCGAATACCTGAGCCGACAAGGTAAAAATCTGTCAATGTCTCCTTGAGCAAGGCACTTATCCCTAATTTGCTCCAGGGGCGCCATACTACTATGGCTGACTCTGTAAAACAACATTTCAACGCACCTATCCGGTGTATGACAATAAAACATTTATTATTATTTTATTTAACATTGTAAGACAATGGCACGCATCCTATTCAGGAATATTTCTGCCATTGTAATCTTTGGGTGGGTCGCTTAAGTCCCTTTTTTCAGGTTGCCTAAGTCTAAACAGTGTGAAAAAATTAAAAACGTTTTCAGTAAACTTAAACCAGATATAAAGTATGTAGAAAAGATAATGGACCTATAGATTTTTTTACACTAGAATCTTTGAGAACTAATAATCACCAACAAAAAAGCTAGACAGTCAGGGAGAATAATAAAAAATAACAATGAATTTAGCAGTATTAACTTTGTTATTATGTTTGATCAAAAGAACACTGCATTAGCCATGGCAAAATGCATAGAATTGCAGGAAACTAGCTTTAAAACTAGGGATACTAATGGTTGACCGGTCATGCTTATGGGTCTATATACAGTTGAAGTCGGAAGTTTACATACACTTAGGTTGGAGTCATTAAAACTAGTTTTTCAACCACTCCACAAATTTCTTGTTAACAAAAAGTTTTGGCAAGTCGTTTAGGACATCTACTTTGTGCATGACAAGTAATTTTTCCAACAATTGTTTACAGACAGATTATTTTCACTTATAATTCACTGTATCACAATTCCAGTGGGTCAGAAGTTTACATACACTAAGTTGACTGTGGCTTAAAACAGCTTGGAAAATTCCAGAAAATGATGTCATGGCTTTAGAAGCTTCTGATAGGCTAATTGACATCATTTGAGTCAATTGGAGGTGTACCTGTGGATGTATTTCAAGGCCTACCTTCAAACTCAGTGCCTCTTTGCTTTACATCATGGGAAAATCAAAAGAAATCAGCCAAGATCTAGTTCATCCTTGGGAGCAATTTCCAAATGCCTGAAGGTACCACGTTCATCTGTACAAACAATAGTACGCAAGTATAAACACCATGGGACCACGCAGCAGTCATACCGCTCAGGAAGGAGATGCGTTCTGTCTCCTAGAGATGAACGTACTTTGGTGCGAAAAGTGCAAATCAATCCCAGAACAACAGCAAAGGACCTTGTGAAGATGCTGGAGGAAACAGGTACAAAAGTATCTATATCCACAGTAAAACAAGTCCTATATCGAAATAACCTGAAAGGCCGCTCAGCAAGGAAGAAGCCACTGTTCCAAAACCGCCATAAAAAAATAGGTGGCATCATGAGGAAGGAAAATTATGTGGATATATTGAAGCAACATCTCAAGACATCAGTCAGGAAGTTAAAGCTTGGTCGCAAATGGGTCTTCCAAATGGACAATGACCCGGAGCATACTTCCAAAGTTGTGGCAAAATGGCTTAAGGACAACAAAGTCAAGGTATTGGAGTGGCCATCACAAAGCCCTGACCTCAATCCTATAGAAAATGTGTGGGCAGAACTGAAAAAGCGTATGCGAGCAAGGAGGCCTACAAACTTGACTCAGTTACACCAGCTCTGTCAGGAGGAATGGGCCAAAATTCACCCAACTTATTGTGGGAAGCTTGTGGAAGGCTACCCGAAACGTTTGACCCAAGTTAAACAATTTAAAGGCAATGCTACCAAATACTAATTGAGTATGTAAACTTCTTACCCCCTGGGAATGTGATGAAAGAAATAAAAGCTGAAATAAATCATTCTCTCTACTATTATTCTGACATTCCACATTCTTAAAATAAAGTGGCGATCCTAACTGGCCTAAGACAGGGATTTTTCACTAGGATTAAATGTCAGGAATTGTGAAAAACTGAGTTTAAATGTATTAGGCTAAGGTGTATATGTAAACTTCCGACTTCAACTGTAGGTACATTTGCATAATTTGTGGAATTAAATTGGTGCGTGTGTATTTTTGTTAGTCGTCATGCATCTTATTCATCACACGCACACAGCATACAGAGAGCCTAATTTGAGGAGTGGAATAGCTTACCACCAGTCAGCCAGCGTGAGAGCACCTCAAAAAGCTGGTACTGAAACATGCTTTTATAAACCCAGTCATTGTGCATTGCACAAAAAATAGTAATTGTAAATGCAATCGTGTGCAAAAATGTCTGGGGATGGCACGATTATAAATAGCTACTATTTTTATTCAACTCTTAATTCAAGCGCGCCTCCAATTCATTTATAAAGACACTACTGTTCTATTGGTTTTCATATCAACTTTCTCTTGTTGTCCAGAAGCAAAAAGGCACAATCCTAGTCATATTAGCAACTTATCCTAGGTGTTGCTATTAGATTCCCCAGCTTTCTAAGTTTCAAACTGTCACATATGGAACAGCTCACATTAGGTACGCTATTTAGAATTGCATTTTGGCAAATGTTTGAAAATGACGTTTTATTAGCTGCTTCATTACAGGAGTTGCATGTTCAATAATAGTCTATAGACTTTTGACTGTAAGACAATAGGCATGCTATTGTTGCATGTTTCCATTAAGCTCGTAATGAAAAAAATCTGTTCCTTGTATGCATGCATAGTATTTCCAGTTGGTCACATAATTCTACTGTTTGGAAAAAATTTAACCATTTGTTGACCGGTTAATGAGGGCCCTTGTCAAATGTAGTGCACTATAAAGAGAATAAGGTGCCATTTGAGATACAGCCAATTAGTTGTGTATTGGAGGAGAAGGAAGGGTGTGACTCTTACCTGTTTCCTCCACTTGAGCTCACAGAAGACCCTCTCGAAACACTCGTGCATGTAGTTGAACTGGGGAGAGACGACAAACACACTGTTAGAAGGAACTGTTCCAAATACACTGAACAAAAATATTAAAAATGCAACATTCAACAATTTCAAAGATTTTACTGAGTTACAGTTCATATAAGGAAATCCGTCAATTTAAATTAATTAATTAGGCCCTTATCTATGGATTTCACATTACTTAAAAAGGTATCTGTTAGTCACAGATACCTTTTTTAAAATGTAGGGGCGTGGATCAGAAAACCAGTCAGTATCTAGTGTGACCACCATTTGCCTCATGCAGCGCGACACATCTCCTTCGCATAGAGGCTGTTGATTGTGGCCTTTGGAATGTTGTCCCACTCCTCTTCAATGGCTGTGCGAAGTTGCTGGATATTGGCGGGAACTGGAACACGCTGTCGTACAGGTCGATCCAGAGCACCCCAAACATGCTCAATGGGTGACATGCCTGGTGAGTATGCTGGCCATGGAAGAACTTGGACATTTTCAGCTTACAGAAATTGTGTACAGATCCTGCTGTGCATTATCATGCTGAAACATGAGGTGATGGCGGCGGAAGAATGGGACGACAATGGGCCTCAGGATCTCGTCACGGTATCTCTGTGCATTCAAATTGCATCGATAAAATGCAATTGTGTTTGTTGTCCGTAGCTTATGCCTGCCCATACCATGACCCCACCGCCACCATGGGGCACTCTGTTCACAACGTTGACATCAGCAAACCGCTCGCCCACACGACGCCATATACATACGCTGTCTGCCATCTGCCTGATACAGTTGAAACCGGGATTCATCCGTGAAGAGCACACTTCTCCAGCATGCCAGTGGCCATCGAAGGTGAGCATTTGCCCACTGAAGTCGGTTACAACATCTAACTGCAGTCAGGTTAAGACCCTGGTGAGGATGACGAGCACGCAGACGAGCTTCCCTGACAGTTTCTGACAGTTTGTGCTGAAATTCTTTGTTTGTTCAAACCCACAGTTTCATCAGCTGTCTGGGTGGCTGGTCTCAGATGGTCCTGCAGGTGAAGAAGCTGGATGTGGAGATCCTGGGCTGGCGTGGTTACACATGGTCTGCGGTTGTGATGTCGGTTGGACGTACTGCCAAATTCTCTAAAACAACGGAGGCGGCTTATGGTAGAGAAGTGAACATTAATTATCTCGCAACAGCTCGTGGACATTCCTTTAGTCGGCATGACAATTGCATGCTCCCTCAAAACTTGAGACATCTGTGGCATTGTGTTGTGAGACAAAACTGCAAATATTTTATTGTCCCCAGCACAAGGTGCACCTGTGTAATGATCATGCTGTTTAATTAGCTTCTTGATATGCCACTCCTGTCAGGTGGATGGATTAAATTGGCAAAGGAGAAATGCTCACGAACAGGGATGTAAACAAATTTGTGCACAACATTTGAGATAAATAAGCTTTATGTGCATATGGAACATTTCTGGGTAATTTTATTTAAGCTCATGATACATGGGACCAACACTTTACATGTTGCGTTTATATTTTTGTCAGTATAGATTTTTATCAACGATGTCTACGTCCAAAATGGCACCCTATTCCCAAAGCCCTGGTCAAAAGTAGTACGCCATTTGGGACAGACTCCACACCCTCAATTTCTACATCCTGTTATATTCCATTGATGGTTGGCTATCTTAACGCAGCGATCTATGTGAGCTGTCCTAGTGTATTTTGTCTGTTTATTGTGTATTGTAGACTCACGTATGGTGTGAAGATCTTGACCCAGCGAGGTTTCTTCTCCCCCTTGGCATACTCAAAGCAAAACGCCATGCCTTCCTCGTCAGTGTCCCAGCGCTGCATCTCCACCCACTCAAATGCTATCACCTGGTTCTGATGGGGCGGGAGAGAGAATGGTCAGTACATGCACAGAGTATGAGCCAGCGTGTACACAGACACACACTCAAATAATTTTCCTTTTGTTCTGTATGTGAGAGAACCATGGGACACACACACACACACACACACACACACAGTAAAAGTCAGTGTACACACACACACACACACACTCCAATCTCACTCACCTCAAGCGTGCCATCCTCTGTGCAGGCGTGCAGTTTGAAGTGGTGCATGCTGATGGCCGTGATGACGTGGCCCTTCCTCCGGGAGTCACAGGCGCAGTGGGGGAACATGACCTCGTTGTAGCCCTCACAGGAGCGAAGCAGACTCAGGTACTGACAGACATGAGACAGACTGCCATCAACCACACAGGTAGGCACCAAAACAGGCACGCACACATTCAATATACACATTAATGTATTTTTTATTTATTTAACCCATATTTTAACTAGTAAATTCACTTGGAACACATTCTCATGTACAGCAACGACCTGGGGAATAGTTGAAGGGGTGAGGAGGGGGCTGAATGAGCCAATTGGAAGCTGGGGATGAATGATTAGGTGGCCATGATGGTATGAGCGCCAGATTGGGAATTTAGTCAGGACACTACTCTTACGATAAGTGCCATGGGATCTTTAGTGACCACAGAGAATCACGACACCCGTTTAACATCCCACCTCCCACCTGAAAGACGGCACCCTACACAGGGCAATGTCCCCAAGTGATCCGTTTTTAGACCAGAGGAAGAGAGTGTCTCCTACTGGCCCGCTAACACCACTTCCAGCAGCATCTGGTCTCCCATGCAGGGACCGACCAGGACCAACCCTGCTTAGCTACATATTATGTCTGCAATGGACAGATAACGGCGACAAGAAAGGCACGTACAATACACGGGTCAATGACGTGATGTGCATATTTTGGTGTCCAAATGAAATATTTTCCTAAATCAACAACCAATTTATACACATTTTATGTTATGTAACTATGCCCTTTCTCTTTTATTGAGTCCTAAAAGAGTTAATGATTAAATGTGAAAAATAACTCACTTTCGGTGCTGTAAAGTTTTTTTTAAAGTCATACGGAGCGACTGTCCAAAGACAAATGCAATCTATATAAATGTTAATAAAACATCTGAAATCATAACAAAACAGTCAAATAATTATTCTGGCATGATTTTTTAAAGGGTTTATTGCATTATACGTATGTATGGGTAAGACAGTTTAGGCAGAAAGGTTTTAAATACTTTTGCCTTGAAAAATTGCCTTCATGATTATCATTCGGTGCGACTGACAAAGTCACCATTTTGGATCAAATCGCATGATGGTACTCATGTGACAGAATGTGATATCATTAAGATGCCTGTGAGATACCCTTCGGTTAAGAATAAAAGGTTAGCAAGTCTCTCGTAAATGTTTGACAAGTTGACATTTCCACTGTCAGGTTTTACCTAAAAAAATCGGATCATTCGGTGCGACTGCTAAAAACCAGTAGAAATATAGAATGATCTGAAAAGCTTATATTTTATTTCGATACTCTAGATACATACTTCATGTCAAAGTCAAGTGTTCACATGGGTACACAAGCAGTTGCCTCTAAAATATGTTTATATTAGAAAAGTCATACGGTGTAACCAACATGATCATTAGATATTCCGGTTACACCATTTGACTAAGAAGTTGTCCTAAATGATGTCAATATGTTTGTCTTTGTATTAAGTTATCTATTCATCTATATGTTTTAGTTTACACACAAATACACCATATCTAAACTCAGCAAAAAAAGAAACGTCCCTTTTTCAGGACCCGGTGAGTGCAATTAACTACCAGGTAGAAATAAAAAAACAGTGTTTCGGCCCTCCAGGACCGGAATTGAAGAACCCTGTTGTAAAGGGTTTAAACCAGGGGTGTCAAACTAATTTTAGCTCAGGGGCCACATGGAGGAAAATCTATTCCCAAGTGGGCCGGACCGGAAAAATCATGGTATATATAACTTAAAAACAACAACTTCAGATTGTTTTCTTTGTTTTAATACGATCAACATACAACATAAAGCTGGAGCCTGAGGACAGTGTGTCCAAAATAGTACAAGCACAACATCACTATTAATCATAAAACACGTCAAGTTTATTTGAAAATTCTAAAGAAAAAGAACACACAAACACACAATGCCTCAGTGATTAACAGAACTGTTTCACAGATCACAGAACTATATCAGGGTGTCATTTCTCAGGCAGAAATGTAGATAAAAATAATGAAATCCTGTTCCCCAAACAAGTGCAAGAACCACAGAGTCAAGAATAGGTTAAATATACAAATAAAATAAAATCAATTAAAAACAATAGCACATCAACATAAAAACATATAAACATAAAGCTGGAGCCTGAGGACAGTGTCCAAAAGCACAACATCACTATTAATCATAAAACACCTCAAGTTATTTGAAAGTTCTGAGGACAAAGAACACACAAACACACAATGCCTCAGTGATTCACATAAGTATATCACAGATCACATAACTATATCAGGGTGTCATTTCTCAGGCAGAAATGTAGATAAAAATAATGAAATCCTGTTCCCCAAACAAGTGCAAGAACCACAGAGTCAAGAATAGGTTAAATATACAAATAAAATAAAATCAATTAAAAACAATAGCACATCAACATAAAAACATATAAACATAAATCTGAAAGCGTTGCTCAAACTCCCGTAACAGTCCAGTTATTTTATCTTTGAACCGCTTCATGTCTGCCACATGTTGGGTCGCGCACACATTTTTCAGACAGGGGAAGTGAGCTGCATCACCACCGGCAAGTTGCGTCTCCCACAATGACAGCTTCAACTTGAAAGAACGTATGCTGTCATAATACTGCGTGACAACTTTGTTGCGCCCTTGCAGCTGTTTGTTCAAGTTATTCAGGTGCTCTGTAACATCCACCATAAATGCATGGTCCGGCATCCATTCTGCGGAATGAAATTCTAACACTGGTTTGCCCTTTTCTTCCATGAACTGTTCAATTTCTTCTCGTAAATCAAAGAAACGCCTCAGCACAGCACCTCGGCTTAACCATCTTACCTCAGTGTGGTATGGCAGGCCATAGATGTGGTCTTTCTCTCTGAGAAGGCTGTCAAACTGACGGTGATTCAGGCTTCTGGATCGGATGAAATTAACAGTTTGGATGACCACCTTCATGACGTTATCCATCTTTAATGACTTGCAACACAAAGCCTCCTGGTGCAAAATACAGTGAAAAGTCAAAAAAATCACGTCCTCCATTTGCAGATTGCACTTTCTCTCTGAACTTTGTCACAACGCCTGCTTTTTTCCCGATCATTGAGGGCGCACCATCTGTAGCCAGGCTGACAGCGCGGGACCAGTCCACTCCGACCCTGTCCAGCGCGCCGACGAGTGCGGTAAAAATATCAGCTGCTGTCGTTGTATCTGTCATCGGCACCAACTCCACGAACTCCTCGGTGACGGTCAATGTGTCATCAACTCCGCGGATGAAAAAATGGCCAGTTGTGCAACATCTGTAATGTCCGTGCTTTCATCAATTGCAACCGAAAACGTAATAAATTACTTTACTTTTTGCTTCAACTGGCTGTCCAAATCCACTGAAAGATCGGAAATCCTGTCTGCAACTGTGTTTCTTGTCAGGCTGATATTTGTAAAAGCCTGCCGCTTTTCAGGGCACACAATCTCCGCTGCCTTCATCATGCATGTTTTTACAAATTCACCCTCACTAAATGGTTTTGAAGCCACTGCGATTTCATTAGCAATGAGGTAGCTAGCTTTCACTGCAGCGTCACTGATGTCTCGGCTGTGAGTAAACACAGACTGCTGTTTCTTCAGACCCGCCAACAGTTCATTCTCCTTCTCTCATCTCCGCTGTCCTTGAAAGTTGTCATATTTGTCGGCATGAAGACTCACATAGTGGCGACGAAGGTTATATTCTTTCAGCACTGCAACATGCTCTGAACACACCAAACATACAGCTTTCCCATTCAATTCCGTGATTAAATAGGATGACCATTTTTCTTGGAACACTCTGCACTCTGCGTCCACTTTTCTCTTTTTTGACAGAGACATATTGGGGCAATGAGGGTGCCAAAGCACATAATGTTAAAAGTAGAAGCCGTAATAAATATCGCGGGCAAAACAAAGTAGCTCATTGGCTGCACGTGCTTGACCTACTTGCTCTGCCCCGGTATAAACAGTTTGCTTGCTTAACACAATTGCTATTGCGCCATCCAGTGGACGCAATTGGAACAGCAGTTTATTTTATTGAAAAATTGCAGCGCATTTTTATACTAAAAAAGAAACAAAAAATAATAATAAAAAAAACAATTTTTTTTTTTTTTTTTTTTTTATCATCTCGCGGGCCGGATTAAACCCGTTTGCGGGCCTGATCCGGCCCGCGGGCCGTACGTTTGACACCCCTGGTTTAAACACTGTTTCCCATGCTTGTTCAATGAACCATAAACAATTAATGAACATGTACCTGTGGAACGGTTATTAAGACACTAACAGCTTACAGACGGTAGGCAATTAAGGTCACAGTTATGAAAACTTAGGACACTAAAGAGGCCTTTCTACTGACTCTGAAAAACACCAAAAGAAAGATGCTCAGGGTCCCTGCTCATCTGCGTGAACGTGCCTTAGGCATGCTGCAAGGAGGCATGAGGACTGCAGATGTGGCCAGGGCGATAAATTGCAATGTCCGTACTGTGAGACGCCTAAGACAGCGCTACAGGGAGACAGGACGGACAGACCACGTGTAACAACACCTGCAAAGGATCTGTACATCCGAACATCACACCTGCGGGACAGGTACAGGATGGCAACAACAATTGCCCGAGTTACACCAGGAACGCACAATCCCTCCATCAGTGTTCAGACTGTCCGCAATAGGCTGAGAGAGGCTGGACTGAGGGCTTGTAGGCCTGTTGGAAGGCAGGTCCTCACCAGACATCACCGGCAACAATGTCGCCTATGGGCACAAACCCACCGTCGCTGGACCAGACAGGACTGGCAAAAAGTGCTCTTCACTGACGAGCCGCGGTTTTGTCTCACCAGGGGTGATGGTCGGAGTCGCGTTTATTGTTGAAGGAATGAGCGTTACACCAAGGCCTGTACTCTGGAGCGGGATCGATTTAGAGGTGGAGGGTCAGTCATGGTCTGGGGCGGTGTGTCACAGCATCATCGGACTGAGCTTGTTGTCATTGCAGGCAATCTCAACGCTGTGCGTTACAGGGAAGACATCCTCCTCACTCATGTGGTACCCTTCCTGCAGGCTCATCCTGACATGACCCTCCAGCATGACAATGCCACCAGCCATACTGCTCGTTCTGTGCGTGATTTCCTGCAAGACAGGAATGTCAGTGTTCTGCCATGGCCAGCAAAGAGCACGGATCTCAATCCCATTGAGCACGTCTGGGACCTGTTGGATTGGAGGGTGAGGGCTAGGGCCATTCCCCCCAGAAATGTCCGGGAACTTGCAGGTGCCTTGGTGGAAGAGTGGGGTAACATCTCACAGCAAGAACTGGCAAATCTGGTGCAGTCCATGAGGAGGAGATGCACTGCAGTACTTAATGCAGCTGGTGGCCACACCAGATACTGACTGTTACTTCTGACTGTTACCCCCCCCCCCCCCCCTTTGTTCAGGGACACATTATTCAATTTCTGTTAGTCACATGTCTGTGGAACTTGTTCAGTTTATGTCTCAGTTGTTGAATCTTGTTATGTTCATACAAATATTTACATATGTTAAGTTTGCTGAAAATAAACGCAGTTGACAGTGAGAGGACGTTTCTTTTTTTGCAGAGTTTACTTTTAAGTAAAAACACCAGTTTTTGTAGGATAAGGGTGTTTTGTCCGTTTTATAGTAGTGCACATCAAGCTGCTAATACTGAACATTTGTTTATGTAAATAACAACTATCCTATCAATCAATCTATCTATATTAATTGAGGGTCAATTTGCAGATGTGTTTATCAAGTAAATGCCTTTATTGTCAGGACACAGATTACTGCGGACTCAGTTGCAAGGGATAGGTGATTATTTTGTGTTACTTCAATTTCCTGTCTTCGCCTCTTTGCAAAATACCTTCAGAGATCCAGCTGTGTTTCACTCAGTTTTACACAAAACAGTGAAGGTGCTGCCTGGGGCACATCACGATTGACTTAAAAAAGGTAAGTGAACATTTTGTAGATTCTCTTAAAATCGAATAGAATCGCACGAGTAATATTACATACTATCCTTTTAATCTTGATAGTCTTGATTTTTTAAAATACGCCCAGCATTTTAACTGTATTTCATTTGCAGATGCCTTTATCAAGCAAAGACTGCACGTTTCAGAGCACGGATAAATGCTGACCCACTTGCAAGAGAGGCGATTCTTGCCAAACGAAGAGCAAGGTATTGTTGTTTCATTACTTAATAACCACACTATTTCTTAAAAATTACTGGTGACAAAATCGCTGTTATTCTCCCACATGGAGTTGCTGTTATGGCTTTCTGTCCCTCAAACGAGAAGTTGCAGGCGAGATTTTGTCGCTAGCTAGCGAAATCAAGCGGAAAAATAGCAGATTCTTACCAAATGACGAGCAAGATATTGTTTAATTAATTCATTACCACCCTATATTTAATGACTGGCAGCAAAATCTTTGTTCTTCTCCTACATGGAGGTGCTGTTGTGGCTTTCTGTCCCTCAAACGAGAAGTCTTGCTTCTGCAGCAGACCAAGCATCTGCAACACCTATTTCTGTGCTGTGGAAATGAACTTCAATGAAGAACACCATCAGGAGAACACCATCAGAGGCACAGCAAGATGAAGCTGCGGCCAAGTCAACACTTGCTGAAAAGTCTAGGCAGATTTGTCATCGTCAGCTACGAAGACCGCCCCTTTGTGGGCCAGGTGCTGAAGGTGATTGGGAGGAAGTGCAGATCACTTGTTTGCAGCAGCATGGAGTGAGGAATGTTTGTCTGGCCCTCTGTGCCATTCATTACCTTCTACTATGAAGGAGATGTGAAGTGAATAATTAGTGAGCCCGAGCCCTTCAGCTCAATAGCATCTCGGTTGTCCGACACAGACTAGGCTGCTTTCGTGTCACACTAGCGCAACAACATCAAAACACGCTGTTTTAAGAATGCAAGTTTGATTATTGTCAACTTCAATGAGTTTGTGTTATAACTTTTGCTAGAAAGTGCTAATTTCTTTGTCTTTATGTTTGAATCTCATGAATTGTTTGCATAAACATTTAATCTTGCACTGTTCTGCACAAACTTAATCACATCTGTTGATGTTTTAATATTGGAATTAGAAAAACTGTCTACGCAATGTGGAGATTCATGTTTTTAAAAGATATGGCACAGAAACATTTTACTTTTCTTAAAATTGTAATGTAGAATACTGTTTTTTATGCATTTTATATATTTTTTATTATAATGATTCTTAACATTGTTTAACATTGTACAAAAAATCATCATAATGCATCATTTTAATCCTGTTTTTAGAAGTTCATTGTCATGTTCATGATGAAATGTTTCTGCGTGATAATCATGAGTCACATTTTTTGTATTTTATTAAGCATTAAAAGGCATCATTGTTGTTTAATAAGAAACCATGTTTACTCTTAATGTGTGTGTGTTTGATTAAGAGGGAAACAGAGAGAGAGATCTGCCTAAAAAATGACACCATAACAAAATAGTAATGCGGTGCGACCAGCAATGACCATTCGGTACAACCAGTGTTTTTAGAGTTAAAAAAAACAATTAATATGTTATTGTTTCAAAAATGCAGAGAGAAGCTCAGTCTATAAGAGAAAAAAAATCATTTTTGTAAAATGTTATATGGTTTTCATTTATTTAACAGAAGTTGTAGTTGACAGTCATTCAAAATGAGGGGTTGTACAGTGAAAAGTGAAATATATATTTATATATTTATTATACTGTTAATGTTGAATATTTGAGACCATGTACAGTTGAAATCAGAAGTTTAGGTTGGAGTCATTAAAACTAGTTTTTCAACCAATCCACAAGTTTCTTGTTAACAAACTATAGTTTTGGCAAGTCGGTTAGGACATCTACTTTGTGCATGACAAGTAATTTTTCCAACAATTGTTTACAGACAGATTATTTCACTGTATCACAATTCCAGTGGGTCAGAAGTTTACATACACTAAGTTGACTGTGCCTTTAAACAGCTTGGAAATGTTCAGAAAAAGATGTCATGGCTTTAGAAGCTTCTGATAGGCTAATTGACATCATTTTAGTCAATTGGAGGTGTACATGTGGATGTATTTCAAGGCCTACCTTCAAACTCAGTACATCTTTGCTTGACATCATGGGAAAATCAAAAGAAATCAGCCAAGACCTCAGAAAAAATTTTGTAGACCTCCACAACTCTGGTTCTTCCTTGGGAGCAATTTCTAAACGCCTGAAGGTACCACGTTCATCTGTACAAACAATAGTACGCAAGTATAAACACCATGGGACCACGCATCCGTAATCCCGCTCAGGAAGGAGATGCGTTCTGTCTCCTAGAGATGAACGTACTTTGTTGCGAAAAGTGCAAATCAAATCACAGAACAGCAAAGGACCTTGTAAAGATGCTGGAGGAAACAGGTACAAAAGTATCTATATTGACAGTAAAACGAGTCCTATATCGACATAACTTGAAAGGCCACTCAGCAAGGAAGAAGCCACTGCTCCAAAACCACCATAAAAAAGCCAGACTACGGTTTGCAACTGCACATGGGGACAAAGATCGTACTTTTTTGGAGAAATGTCCTCTGGTCTGATGAAACAAAAATCTAACTGTTTGGCCATATTGACCATTGTTATGTTTGGAGGAAAAAGGGGGTACCTTGCAAGCACGAGGGTGGCAGCATCATGCGGTGGGGGGTGCTTTGCTGCAGGAGGGACTGGTGCACTTCACAAAATAGATGGCATCATGAGGAAGGAAAATTATGTGGATATATTGAAGCAACATCTCAAGACATCAGTCAGGAAGTTAAAGCTTGGTCGCAAATGGGTCTTCTAAATGGACAATGACCCCAAGCATACTTCCAACAAAATCAAGATATTGGAGCGGTCATCACAAAGCCATGACCTCAATCCTATAAAAAATGTGTGGGCAGAACTGAAAAAGCATGGGCGAGCAAGGAGGCCTACAAACCTGACTCAGTTACACCAGCTCTGTCAGGAGGAATGGGCCAGAATTCACCCAACTTATTGTGGGAGCTTGTGGAAGGCTACCCAAAATGTTTGACATAAGTTAAACAATTTAAAGGCAATGCTACCAAATACTAATTGAGTGTATGTAAACTTCATTCTTAAAATAAAGTGGTGATCCTAACAGGTGAAGAACTGAGTTTAAATGTATTTGGCTAAGGTGTATGTAAACTTCCGACTTCAACTGTATATATTCATATTTTACTCTTTGTTTGAAATAATGGTCAGAAAACAAAAAATTTTTTTAACTGTTCTTCATGGTCCCACTGAATGACTTTTTTTATGAGGACAATTTAACAATCGCATAAAAAAATAAATAGTTTTTAACAACTATTCTTTGCAACAAATCCTGAAAGTGCATAGGTAACACTCAAGGGAACATAAAGTGTTTCAAATTAAATCGTTTTCCCTTTTCACATTTTTCACTTTTGAAAACCTTGTACATCATTGACCCACACATTCTCATACTGTATGTTAGGCACATGCACATGAGTTATAATAATCTAATATATGCAATTTTTAGCAGACGCTTTAATCGAAAGCGGCTTAGTCATGCGTGCATACATTTGACGTACGGAACCCGTGCTCTACCAACTGAGCTACAGAGGACCACTTGCAATGGAAGAGAATAGAAAAGGGACTAACCATGGCCATCTTGCGCTGCTCTGCCAGTTTCGTCAGCTGGTAAGAATTGTCTTCTGTTTTGATGAATCCCTTCTTCACGTCATCCAATGCCTTAGCAGACAGAGAGATAGTGAGAAAGGGGCTTTGTTAGAGACCACATTTCATCTAATCTAGCACTGACCTCAGAGCAGTGGCACTGGGACGCAGATGTGGAAGTAGTGGGCGGTAATCTCATTGGAACAGACCACGGATCAGTATTGTACAGTAGCCTACCACTGACTCAGGACCAGTAATACAGCAGAGCATAAAATTAACACCTGCCAAATGCGGATAGATTTAGGTATTGGCGGGTAAGAATGTCTTTCACCAGCCACGTTGGCTTTCACCAGCCAACTTGAAGGGCTCTAAACTGCGAGCATTACATTCGCATAACGAATACAAATAGAGTCACAAAAGTCAAGTATGAGCACATGTGCGAGTTGCGATTTTCTAGCAAGAAAATGCTGCAGTAGATGTTTTTAAAGTATTTCTGCTGTTTCGTTTCATACAGTAGCTGCTAAATGCACAAAGAAATACAAATCCTATATCCCACCTCACGCAGCAACACTCCCTGGCTGGGTAGCTTTCTTGGCTATTTACATTGGTTTTGTTCACAAGCTCGGTTGTATTTCAATGTTAGTTTGAGTCTTCTGCTTCAACTGAGTCTGCTGCTTCAGCCTAATCAGATCCCAAATCTCAGACACACACTTGACACAACTTGAGTGGCCCCGTTACCATGGGAACCCCCCGCACTTAAAGGGGCAGCTGAATATTTTGTCTCATATGACAGTTTGATTAAAAGTATTTTGGCTGGTAAAAAAACATCTGAGTGGCTGGTAGACCAAAAAGTTCCTTTTAGGCCCTGAATACAGTAACCCAGGTAATAATAATTGATTCAACTTTTATAGCTCTTTTCATTACAGAAAGAAGTGTTTAACACTTTTTGGGTTACTACATGATTCCATGTGTTATTTCGACTGTAGAAAATAGTAAAAATAAAGAAAAACCCTGGAATGAGTAGATATATTTACAGTACCAGTCAAAAGTTTGGACACCTACTCATTCCAGGGTTTTTCTTTATTTTTACTATTTTCTACATTGTCAAATAATAGTGAAGACATCAAAACTATGAAATAACACATATGGAATCATATATTGACTAAAAAAGTGTTAAACAAATTGAGATTCTTCAAAGTAGCCACCCTTTTCCTTGATGACAGCTTTGCACACTCTTGGCATTCTCTCAACCAGCTTCATGAGGTAGTCATCTGGAATGCATTTCAATTAATTTGTGGAATTTCTTTCCTTCTTAATGCGTTTGAGCCAATCAGTTGTGTTGTGACAAGGTAGGGGGGTATACAGAAGATAGCCCTATTTGGTAAAATACCAACTCCATATTATGGCAAGAACAGCTCAAATAAGCAAAGAGAAACGACAGCCAATCTTTACTTTAAGACATGAAGGTCAGTCAATCCGGAAAATGTCAAGAACTTGGAAAGTTTCTTCAAGTGCAGTCACAAAACCATCAACCGCTATTATGAAACTGGTTCTCATGAGGACCGCCACAGCAAAGGAAGACCCAGAGTTACCTCTGCTGCAGATAATACATTCATTAGAGTTAACTGCACCGCAGATTGCAGCCCAAATAAATACTTCACAGAGTTCAAGTAACAGACAGATCAACATCAACTGTTTACATTTACATTTAAATCATTTAGCAGACGCTCTTATCAAGAGCGACTTACAGTTAGGGGAGATGTGTGATTTCATAGTTTTGATGTCTTCACTATTATTCTACAATGTAGAAAATAGTAAAAATAAAGAAAAACCCTTGAATGAGTCCAAACTGACTGGTACTGTATGTGTAAAAGATAGTTGGAGCGACAATCAAAAGGGAGCCCTTACCTGGTGGAAGCAGTAGTGGACGGCCAGCGTGTTGTCCCTGAGCAGCTCCTCCTCCTGAGAGGTGAAAAGCCACTTGCGGAGGGCCAGGCAGGTGCCCGGCACGGCCGACGTGTAGTTCTGCACATACAGCTTGTGGGGGAACTCGTTGGGAGCCAGTTTTCGCACTAGGGAAAGCAGGTGAAGAGGAGAGGGGCAGTCTAGTTACTTCCATACCCCTAAAACAATATAGTTGTCTACAAACTGACTGGAGGGTGCATCTCAATAGACTAGAGAGGTTTCGCTTCCTCGTCTCCTTCCACTCGTTTCAGATCGGTGCAGTTGAATGGAAGGAGACAGGGTGAGGAAGCCACTTTAGACTACCGAGATGCAACTGTACTGATCAGAAGAGTAAAGGTGTAAGGTAAATGGGTCGGTACATGGAGTAGCTGTGGACTACAAAAGAATGAATGAATAAACAGATGAATGGATGGATGGATGGATGGATGGATGGTCTTACCAAAGGAGTGGTTGATGACTTCAAAGAGGGCAAAGTAGCTGGCCATGATGCTGTCCATACCAACTTTCATCACTAAAGCCTGGGGAATGGAGAGAGGGAAAACACAGTGGAAGCCTATCAGTTATTGATATTTAAGCACCATTCAGTCACATAAGAGCCATGCATTGATATTGATCTAGTGTTATACACTCTGGTCCTGGGAGTGCAAGCCTTTGTCCCAGCCCAGCATTAACCCAACTGATGATTCAACTAACCAGGGTCTTGATGAATATCTCCATGGCTAATCGATCCTGTTTAGTGTACTTTTATATACTTCTTTTAATGTGTGATTGTATTGCTTTTTATCCTGCTGCCATCTTGAAAAGCGCTTAAAAAACAAAACGTACTATTATTATTATTAATAATATAGAAATTGATTATATCAGGGGTGTATTCAGTGGTGTACTGAATGTTGCAAATATAAATGGAATGAAGAGCTGATGATTCCCTATCATATCTGACACAGCAATCATATATTTAGTACAATTTCTATGTTCTGTAATGTTACATCCTCCTGAACAGAGCCCATATTTACATAGTGTCTCAGAGTAAGAATGCTGATCTAGGATCAGTTTAGCCTTTTCTATCATAATTAATAAGACAGGGGGGACCTGATCCTAGATCAGCACACCTACTTTAAGATGCTTTGTGAATACAGGCCCAGCAGGCCCCAGGTATTGCAGCGCTGGGGTGTAACGAAAGCCAGCAAACACTGTTGCCCTCTAGGCAGGGCTCTAAATAAAATAAAAATCATAGACTGACAAAGAAATGATCAGTCTATAATTTTAATGGTAGGTTTATTTGAACAGTGAGAGACAGAATAACAACAAAAAAATCCAGAAAAACGCATGTGAAAAATGTTATAAATTGATTTGCATTTTAATGAGGGAAATAAGTATTTGACCCCCTCTCAATCAGAAAGATTTCTGGCTCCCAGGTGTCTTTTATACAGGTATTGAGCTGTGATTAGGAGCACACTCTTAAACTGAGTGCTCCTAATCTCAGCTTGTTACCTGTATAAAAGACACCTGTCCACAGAAGCAATCAATCAATCAATCAATCAGATTCCAAACTCTCCACCATGGCCAAGACCAAAGAGCTCTCCAAGGATGTCAGGGACAAGATTGTAGACCTACACAAGGCTGGAATGGGCTACAAGACCATCGCCAAGCAGCTTGGTGAGAAGGTGACAACAGTTGGTGTGATTATTCGCAAATGGAAGAAACACAAAATAACTGTCAATCTCCCTCGGCCTTGGGCTCCATGCAAGATCTCACCTCGTGGAGTTGCAATGATCATGAGAACGGTGAGGAATCAGCCCAGAACTACACGGGAGGATCTTGTCAATGATCTCAAGGCAGCTGGGACCATAGTCACCAAGAAAACAATTGGTAACACACTACGCCGTAAAGGACTGAAATCCTGCAGCGCCCGCAAGGTCCCCCTTCTCAAGAAAGCACATATACAGGCCCGTCTGAAGTTTGCCAATGAACATCTGAATGATTCAGAGGAGAACTGGGTGAAAGTGTTGTGGTCAGATGAGACCAAAATTGAGCTCTTTGGCATCAACTCAACTCGCCGTGTTTGGAGGAGGAGGAATGCTGCCTATGACCCCAAGAACACCATCCCCACCGTCAAACATGGAGGTGGAAACATTATGCTTTGGGGGTGTTTTTCTGCTAAGGGGACAGGACAACTTCACCGCATCAAAGGGACGATGGACGGGGCCATGTACCGTCAAATCTTGGGTGAGAACCTCCTTCCCTCAGCCAGGGCATTGAAAATGGGTCGTGGATGGGTATTCCAGCATGACAATGACCCAAAACACAAGGCCAAGGCAACAAAGGAGTGGCTCAAGAAGAAGCACATTAAGGTCCTGGAGTGGCCTAGCCAGTCTCCAGACCTTAATCCCATAGAAAATCTGTGGAGGGAGCTGAAGGTTCGAGTTGCCAAACGTCAGCCTCAAAACCTTAATGACTTGGAGAAGATCTGCAAAGAGGAGTGGGACAAAATCCCTCCTGAGATGTGTGCAAACCTGGTGGCCAACTACAAGAAACGTCTGACCTCTGTGATTGCCAACAAGGGTTTTGCCACCAAGTACTAAGTCATGTTTTGCAGAGGGGGTCAAATACATATTTCCCTCATTAAAATGCAAATCAATTTATAACCTTTTTGACATGCGTTTTTCTGGATTTTTTTGTTGTTATTCTGTCTCTCACTGTTCAAATAAACCTACCATTAAAATTATAGACTGATCATTTCTTTGTCAGTGGGCAAACGTACAAAATCAGCAGGGGATCAAATACTTTTTTCCCTCACTGTAAAAAACAAAACATAATCCCACTTACATTATGGGGTATTGTGTGTAGGCCAGTGACACAAAAGGTCAATTATATATTTTTTAATTCAGGCTGAAACAACAAAATGTGGAAAAAGTCAAGGGGTGTGAATACTTTCTGAAGGCACTGTAGCTATTCATAACAGTAGCTAGCTAAACTAGGTAATGCTTTGTTAACTTTATTAGCAGTATGTTTTGAGAGCTGGAAAAATGCACGCACCATAGCACCGGTGTCCAGTGGTACCATCGGTGGCTGCCAACTCCTCTCCCTCTCTGCCTTGTTCGTGCTTTGTGGTGTCCCTCCAATAATGGCTTGAATAATAGGCTAGTTCAATGAGTTTTCTAGGACGAGATCAATTTCTCTAGGGTACTCGGTAACAACGGTACAGCGAAGCCTAATCATTACAACAATTATTATCTAGGTGCCCCGGTGCTCCCAAAATAATAATAATATGCCATTTAGCAGACGCGGTTATCCAAAGCGACTTACAGTCATGTGCGCATACATTTTTACGTATGGGTGGTCCCGGGGATCGAACCCACTACCCTGGCGTTACAAGCGCCATGCTCTACCAATTGAGCTACAGAGGACCAAATAAAATGTCAGGTCACACAGCAAAATATTTAGGAGCATATACAACCAAAATGGTCACACTTTAGAGCCCTGCCTCTAGGACAACAAGTGAGGAACTGCTCTATAAATGGTTCTATACCTGGTAGACTTGGTCGGTCGTGCTGTTCTTGCGCACTCTGACAGAGATGGTGGTCTTGTCTGGCAGGGCTATCCGCAGCTCCACGTCTGAAACTCCATTGTAATTCTGACAAACAGAGAAAGGAAGGGTGAGTATCGGTTTGTTTTAAGATGCTCTCCTGCTGCTACGGAAACTGTCCGCACAAACGTACCTCATCTGATTCAGAAAGGAATTCCTGCATGATGTCACTCTCCCCAATCACCCGTACTGAACAAACTACAGAAGGAGAAAATAAGATAGAGAACAAAAGGTAATCTTACCATATTGCATTCACGTGGACACTTTGAAGTTCGACAAAATGTGTACTGCAGTTATATTAGCGGTACATACACATTCCAGGGCATTCCACAAGTATTCCAATGATTTGCTATCTGTCTGCAGGAGATAGCTCTCCATCTCGGAATTCGACACACTGCATTACAGCATACGTGGTTTCTCACTTCTCCAAACGCTCAGATTTCTGTGCTACTTGTTCCTCCAATGAACTCACACAGGCATTCCAAAAATAAGGCACTTGCTGTTTTTCATCTCCTCCAACACTGACATATGGAAGGGTTCTAATACCACAGAATTAAATAGAACTTAATAATAGTAATATATATGTAAAAAAATACATCTACAGTGGGGGAAAAAAGTATTTAGTCAGCCACCAATTGTGCAAGTTCTCCAACTTAAAAAGATGAGAGAGGCCTGTAATTTTCATCATAGGTACACGTCAACTATGACAGACAAAATGATGAAAAAAAATCCAGAAAATCACATTGTAGGTTTTTTATGAATTTATTTGCAAATTATGGTGGAAAATAAGTATTTGGTCAATAACAAAAGTTTCTCAATACTTTGTTATATACCCTTTGTTGGCAATGACACAGGTCAAACGTTTTCTGTAAGTCTTCACAAGGTTTTCACACACTGTTGCTGGTATTTTGGCCCATTCCTCCATGCAGATCTCCTCTAGAGCAGTGATGTTTTGGGGCTGTCGCTGGGCAACACGGACTTTCAACTCCCTCCAAAGACTTTCTATGGGGTTGAGATCTGGAGACTGGCTAGGCCACTACAGGATCTTGAAATGCTTCTTACGAAGCCACTCCTTCGTTGCCCGGGCGGTGTGTTTGGGATCATTGTCATGCTGAAAGACCCAGCCACGTTTCATCTTCAATGCCCTTGCTGATGGAAGGAGGTTTTCACTCAAAATCTCACGATACATGGCCCCATTCATTCTTTCCTTTACACGGATCAGTCGTCCTGGTCCCATTGCAGAAAAACAGCCCCAAAGCATGATGTTTCCACCCCCATGCTTCACAGTAGGTATGGTGTTCTTTGGATGCAACTCAGCATTCCTTGTCCTCCAAACACGACGAGTTGAGTTTTTACCAAAAAGTTCTATTTTTGTTTCATCTGACCATATGACATTCTCCCAGTCCTCTTCTGGATCATCCAAATGCACTCTAGCAAACTTCAGACGGGCCTGGACATGTACTGGCTTAAGCAGGGGGACACGTCTGGCACTGCAGGATTTGAGTCCCTGGCGGCGTAGTGTGTTACTGATGGTAGGCTTTGTTACTTTGGTCCCAGCTCTCTGTAGGTCATTCACTAGGTCCCCCCGTGTGGTTCTGGGATTTTTGCTCACTGTTCTTGTGATCATTTTGACCCCACGGGGTGAGATCTTGCGTGGAGCCCCAGATCGAGGGAGATTATCAGTGGTCTTGTATGTCTTCCATTTCCTAATAATTGCTCCCACAGTTGATTTCTTCAAACCAAGCTGCTTACCTATTGCAGATTCAGTCTTCCCAGCCTGGTGCAGGTCTACAATTTTGTTTCTGGTGTCCTTTGACAGCTCTTTGGTCTTGGCCATAGTGGAGTTTGGAGTGTGACTGTTTGAGGTTGTGGACAGGTGTCTTTTATACTGATAACAAGTTCAAACAGGTGCCATTAATACAGGTAACGAGTGGAGGACAGAGGAGCCTCTTAAAGAAGAAGTTACGGGTCTGTGAGAGCCAGAAATCTTGCTTGTTTGTAGGTGACCAAATACTTATTTTCCACCATAATTTGCAAATAAATTCATTAAAAATCCTACAATGTGATTTTCTGGAATTTTTTTCTCAATTTGTCTGTCATAGTTGACGTGTACCTATGATGAAAATTACAGGCCTCTCTCATCTTTTTAAGTGGAAGAACTTGCACAATTGGTGGCTGACTAAATACTTTTTTCCCCCACTGTATGTGTAATATGATGCCTGTGGTGTTGGAGCTATCTGCATGTCAGCATTGCAAATTATTGAAGGGAATTGAGGTTGCCATCCTGAACCTTCTGTGAGTATTTTCCTTATTTACCTCTCCTCAATTCCCTACAGGTATGCTCTACTCTTTTCTACCTCATTCTCTACCTTTGCTTCCTTCTCCTCTCGCTCACCTCTCTCCAGGTACTCCTCCAGGCCCCTGCGGCGTGTGTCCAGCTGCTGCTCAGACAGGGAGAAGGGCCACTTCCCTGGGATCTTGGGGAAGGTGTAACTGGCAAACTCCCTCTTCAGGTTCTGGTTCAGGATAGCAAACTCCCGGTAGCGCTTGGAGCACAGCTGCCTGCCCGAAATGTACACATTGTACACCTGTAGGGGACAGACCGAGGTGAGTGGGAAGGCGCAATGACAGAAAACTGGGAAATGATGCACAGTATTCACTTGTAAAAGATGAGACATGTACACAGGGCTCTAAAGTGCGACCATTTTGGTTGCATATGCTCCTAAATATTTTGCTGTGCGACCTGGACTTTAAATTTGGGAGCACCAGTGTGCCTGGTAGATCAGCTTTAATATTGCAGATAGATTGTAGCTTCCATCAATGTAATTGTCAGCATCCTTTCCAATCCCCTATACAGTGGCTTGCGAAAGTATTCACCCCCCTTGGCATTTTTCCTATTTTGTTGCCTTACAACCTGGAATTCAAATGGATTTTATTGGGGTTTGTATCATTTGATTTACACAACATGCCTACCACTTTGAAGATGCAACATTTTTTATTGTGAAACAAACAAGAAATAAGACAAAAAAACGGAAAACTTGAGCGTGCATAACTATTCACCCCCCCAAAGTCAATACTTTGTAGTGTCACCTTTTGCAGCAATTACAGCTGCAAGTCTCTTGGGGTATGTCTCTATAAGCTTGGCACATCGAGCCACTGGGATTTTTGCCCATTCTTCAAGGCAAAAGTGCTCCAGCTCCTTCAAGTTAAATGGGTTCCGCTGGTGTACAGCAATCTTTAAGTCATACAACAGATTCTCAATTGGATTGAGGTCTGGGCTTTGACTAGGCCATTCCAAGACATTTAAATGTTTCCCCTTAATCCACTAATGACCCCCCCAGTATGCTTAGGGTCATTGTCCTGCTGGAAGGTGAACCTCCGTCCCAGTCTCAAATTTCTGGATGGCTGAAACAGGTTTCCCTCAAGAATTTCCCTGTATTTAGCGCCATCCATCATTCCTTCAATTCTGACCAGTTTCCCAGTCCCTGCCAATGAAAAACATCCCCACAGCATGATGCTGCCACCACCATGCTTCACTGTGGGGATGGAGTTCTCGGGGTGATGAGAGGTGTTGGGTTTGCGCCAGAAATAGCGTTTTCCTTGATGGCCAAAAAGCTCAATTTTGGTCTCATCTGACCAGAGTACCTTCTTCCATATGTTTGGGGAGTCTCCCACATGCCATTTGGCGAACACCAAACATGTTTGCTTATTTTTTTCTTTAAGCAATGGCTTTTTCTGGCCACTCCTCCATAAAGCCCAGCTCTGTGGAGTGTATGGCTAAAAGTGGTCCTATGGACAGATACTCCAATCTCCGCTGTGGAGCTTTGCAGCTCCTTCAGGGTTATCTTTGGTCTCTTTGTTGCCTCTCTGATTAATGCCCTCCTTGCCTGGTCCGTGAGTTTTGGTGGGCGGCCCTCTCTTGGCAGGTTTGTTGTGGTGCCATATTCTTTCAATTTTTTAATAATGGATTTAAATGGTGCTCTGTGGGATGTTCAAAGTTTCTGATATTTTTTTATAACCCAACCCTGATCTGTACTTCTCCACAAGCATTGAAGGTCCCCAATTACACAGCGGCCTCCATTCTTAAATGGAAGAAGTTTGGAACAACCAAGACTCCTAGAGCTGGCCGCTCGGCCAAACTGCGCAATCGGGGCAGAAGGGCCTTGGTTAGGGAGGTAACTCCAGAGTTACTCTGTGGAGATGGGAGAACTGTCCAGAAGGACAACCATCTCTGCAGCACCCCACCAATCAGGCCTTTATGGTAGAGTGGCCAGAAGGAAGCCACTCCTCAGTAAAAAGGCACATGACAGCCTGCTTGGAGTTTGTCAAAAGGCACCTAAAGGCTCTCAGACCATGAGAAACAAGATTCTCTGGTCTGATGAAACCAAGATTGAACTCTTTGGCCTGAATGCCAAGCATCACAGGGCGGCAGGTAGCTTAGTGGGTAAGAGCGTTGTGCCAGTAACCGAAAGGTCGCTGGTTCTAATCCCCGAGCCGACTAGGTGAAAAAGCTGTCGATGTGCCCTTGAGCAAGGCACTTAACCCTAATTGCTCCTGTAAGTCGCTCTGGATAAGAGCGTCTGCTAAATGACTAAAAATGTAAATCACGTCTGGAGTAAACCTGGCACCATCCCTACGGTGAAATATGGTGATGGCAGCATCATGCTGTGGGGATGTTTTTCAGCGGCAGGGACTGGGAGACTAGTCAGGATCTAGGGAAAGATGAATGGAGCCAAGTACAGAGAGATCCTTGATGAAAACCTGCTCCAGACTAGGGCGAAGGTTCACCTTCCAACAGGACAACGAACCTAAGTACACAGCCAAGAGAACGCAGGAGTGGCTTCGGGACAAGTCTTTGAATGTCCTTGAGTGGCCCAGACTTGAAACCGATCGAACATCTCTGCAGAGACCTGAAAATAGCTGTGCAGCGATGCTCCCCATCCAACATGACATAGCTTGAGAGGATCTGCAGAGAAGAATGGGAGAAACTCCAAATACAGATGTGCCAAGCTTGTAGCGTCATACCCAAGAAGACTCGAGGCTGTAATCGCTGCCAAAGGTGCTTCAACAAAGTACTGAGTAAAGGGTCTGAACAATTTCTAAAAACCTGTTTTTAGAAATACATACACAGTGCATTCGGAAAGTATTCAGACCCCTTGACTTTTTCCACATTCTGTTACGTTACAGCCTTTGAAATTGTTGCATTTATATTTTTCTTCAGTATATAAAAAGGTGCATTTTTATGGTGAATATTAGCTTCCCCAAACTTGAAACTCACGTGGCGCCTATGTATGCCAGTAAAGCGGATTAATGTGCTTAATTTTAAGAATTGAGCAATAAATATAGCAGCACGAGAAAGCTGAGATCCTCTTTTAAATAGTGGCCAATCAAAACTCTACACCACTGTGCAATCGCATGTGAAAACAAAGTACTTAAGTAAAAAATGTTTTTTGGGGGGCATCTGTACTTTATGACAACTTTTACTTTACTATATTCCTAAAGAAAATAATTACTTTTCACTCCATACATTTTCCCCTCACAGCCAAAAGTACTCGTTACATTTCGAATGCTTAACAAGACAGAAAACATTTTCAATTCACGCACTTATCAAGAGAACCTCCCTGGTCATCCTTACTGCCTCAGATATGGCGGACTCACTAAACATAAATGCTTCATTTGTAAATGGTGTCTGAGTGTTGGAGTGTGCCTCTGGCTAGCAGTAAAAATATATAAAAAGTAAATACAAATCCAATTCTGCCATCATGTTATCTTAATACAGTTGAAGTCGGAATTTTACATACACTTAGGTTGGAGTCATTAAAACTCGTTTTTCAACCACTCCACAAATTTCTTGTTAACAAACTATAGTTTTGGCAAGTCGGTTAGGACATCTACTTTGTGCATGACACAAGTAATTTTTCCAACAATTGTTTACAGACAGATTATTTCACTTATAATTCACTGTATCACAATTCCAGTGGGTCAGAAGTTTACATACACTAAGTTGACTGTGCCTTTAAACAGCTTGGAAAATTCCAGAAAATGATGTCATGGCTTTAGAAGCTTCTGATAGGCTAACTGACATCATTAGAGTCAATTTGAGGTGTACCTGTGGATGTATTTCAAGGCCTACCTTCAAACTCAGTGCCTCTTTGCTTGACATCATGGTAAAATCAAAAGAAATCAGCCAAGACCTCAGAAAAAAAATTGTAGACCTCCACAAGTCTGGCTCATCCTTGGGAGCAATTTCCAAACGCCTGAAGGTAACACGTTCATCTGTACAAACAATAGTACGCAAGTATAAACACCATGGGACCACGCAGCCGTCATACCGCTCAGGAAGGAGATGCGTTCTGTCTCCTAGAGATGAACGTACTTTGTTGCGAAAAGTGCAAATCAATCCCAGAACAACAGCAAAGGACCTTTGTGAAGATGTTGGAAGAAACAGGTACAAAAGTATCTATATCCACAGTAAAACGAGTCCTATATCGACATAACCTGAAAGGCCGCTCAGCAAGGAAGAAGCCACTGCTCCAAAACCGCCAGACTACAGTTTGCAACTGCACATGGGGACAAAGATCGTACTTTTTGGAGAAATGTCCTCTGGTCTGATGAAACAAAAATAGAACTGTTTGGCCATAATGACCATTGTTATGTTTGGAGGAAAAAGGGGGTAACTTGCAAGCCGAAGAACACCATTCCCAACCGTGAAGCACGGGGGTGGCAGCATCATGCTGTGGGGGTGCTGTGCTGCAGGAGGGACTGGTGCACTTCACAAAATAGATGGCATCATGAGGAAGGAAAATGATGTGGATATATTGAAGCAACATCTCAAGACATCAGTCAGGAAGTTAAAGCTTGGTCGCAAATGGGTCTTCCAAATGGACAATGACCCCAAGCATACTTTCAAAGTTGTGGCAAAATGGCTTAAGGACAACAAAGTGAAGGTATTGGAGTGGCCATCACAAAGCCTGACCTCAATCCTATGGAACATTTGTGGGCAGAACTGAAAAAGCATGTGCGAGCAAGGAGGCCTACAAACCTGACTCAGTTACACCAGCTCTGTCAGGAGGAATGGGCCAAAATTCACCCAACTTATTGTGGGAAGCTTGTGGAAGGCTACCCGAAACATACGAAAAATGTAGTTTACTGGGCGACTTTCACTTGAGTCATTTTCTACTAAAGGTATCTTTACTTTTACTCAGGTATGAGAATTGGGTACTTTTTCCACTACTGCGATTCCGTAATGACTGGGCTTATAAGAACACGTTTCACTAGGCTCTGTAGGCTATGTGCTCTCTAACCGTGTTCCAGGGGTCCTAGGCCTATGGGCTACGTTTTGAGTAACTTGGCCACTTTAGTTGTGATAAAAACATTATCAAAACATATAAGACAATGGGCTAGGCTACATTAGCGACTGGCAGTTAGAAAGTTTGGTAGGCTACTAATGACCATCAGCAGCATCAGAGCGCAGTTTTGGAGAAGCCTAGTTACTGTTACTAAACGGTCACGTGGAATTTGACTGTGGTCATGACTCGTGACTGCCGGTGTGGTCATCGTAACAGCCTTAGTCCACAGAAACCCACACAGTCGTGAAGACGGCACGGCAGCGCATCTTCCCTCTCAGGAGGCTGAAAGTATTTGGCATGGGCCCTCTGATCCTCATAAAGTTCTACAGCTGCACCATCGAGAACATCTTGACTGGCTGCATCCCCGCTTGGTATTGCAAATGCACCGCCATCGACCGCAAAGCGCTAAAGAGTGTGGTGCGAACAGCCCAGTACATTACTGGGGCCGAGGTCCCTGCCATCCAGGATCTCTATAATCAGGCGGTATCAGAGGAAGGACTGAAAAATGGCCAAAGACTCCAGCCACCCAAACAATAGACAGTTCACTCTGCTACCGTCCGGCAAACGGTACCGGAGCATCGGCTCTTGGACTAACAGGCTCAGAGCCAGCTTCTACCCCCAAGCCATAAGAATGCTAAATAGTTCATTAATGGTTACCGGCACTATCTTGCACTGACCCTACGCACATTCACCATCAGAAAGTATTCAAACCCCTTGACTTTTTCCACATTTTGTTGTGTTGTGGCCTGAATTTAAAATAGATTGAATTTATATATTTTGTGTCACTGACCTACACACAATACCCTATAATGTCAAAGTGGAATTATATTTTCAGATATTTTTTACAAATTAATAAAAAATGAAATCTGAAATGTCTTGTAACAACACATCTGCCACACTGATCCTCAACACGGGGGCCCCTCAGGGGTGCGTGCTCAGTCCCCTCCTGTACTCCCTGTTCACCCATGACTGCATGGCCAGGCACAACTCCAACACCATCATTAAGTTTGCCGACGACACAACAGTGGTAGGCCTGATCACCGACAACGATGAGACAGCCTATAGGGAGGAGGTCAGAGACCTGGCCGTGTGGTGCCAGGACAACAACCTCTCCCTCAACGTGACCAAGACAAAGGAGATGATTGTGGACTACAGGAAAAAAAAAGAGGACTGAGCACGCCCCCATTCTCATCGACGGGGCTGTAGTGGAACAGGTTGAGAGCTTCAAGTTCCTTGGTGTCCACATCACCAACGAACTATCATGGTCCAAACACACCAAGACAGTCGTGAAGAGGGCACGACAAAGCCTATTCCCCCTCAGGAGACTGAAAAGATTTGGCATGGGTCCTCAGATCCTCAAAAAATTCTACAGCTGCACCATCGAGAGCATCCTGACTGGTTGCATCACCGCCTGGTATGGCAATTGCTTGGCCTCCGACCGCAAGGCACTACAGAGGGTAGTGCGTACGGCCCAGTACATCACTGGGGCCAAGCTTCCTGCCATCCAGGACCTCTATACCAGGCGGTGTCAGAGGAAGGCCCTCAAAATTGTCAAAGACTCCAGCCACCCTAGTCATAGACTGTTCTCTCTGCTACCGCACGGCAAGCGGTACCGGAGTGCCAAGTCTAGGTCCAAAAGACTTCTCAACAGCTTCTACCCCCAAGCCATAAGACTCCTGAACAGCTAATCATGGCTACCCAGACTATTTGCACTGCCCCCCCACCCCATCCTTTTACGCTGCTGCTACTCTGTTAATTATTTATGCATAGTCACTTTAACTCTACCCACATGTACATATTACTTCAACTACCTCAACTAGCCGGTGCCCCCGCACATTGACTCTGCACCGGTACCCCCCTGTATATATAGCCTCCCTACTGTTATTTCATTTTACTTCTGCTCTTTTTTTCTTAACACTTTTTTTGTTGTTTTATTTTTACTTTTTTTGTTAAAATGAAATGCACTGTTGGTTAAGGGCTGTAAGTAAGCATTTCACTGTAATGTCTGCACCTGTTGTATTCGGCGCATGTGGCCAATAAAATTTGATTTGATTTGAACCCCTTTGTTATGGCAAGCCTAAATAAGTTCAGGGGTAAGAATTTGCTTAACAAATCTCATCAGTTGCTTGGACTCATTCCATGTTCAATAATAGTGGTTAACATGATTTTTAATGAATACCTTATCTCTGTAGCCCACACATACAGATAATTGGAAGGTCCCTCAGTCGAGGAGTGAATTTCAAACACAGATTCAACCACAAAGACCAGGGAGGTTTTCCAATGCCTCGCAAAGAAGGGCACCTATTGGTAAAAAATATTTATATATATATATATATATATATATATATATCCCTTTGAGCATGGTGAAGTTATTAATTACCCTTTGGATGGTGTATCAATACACCCAGTCACTACAAAGATACAGGCGTCCTTCCTAACTCAGTTGCCGGAGAGGAAGGAAACTGCTCAGGAATTGGTGACTTTAAAACAATGGCTGTGATAGGAGAAAACTGAGGGTGGATCAACAACATTGTAGTCACTCCACAATACTAACCTAAATGACAGCATTTACAACTCTTCATATTTTTAAGTATGGTAGTGGCTGCATCATGTTATGGGTTTGCTTGTCATTGGCAAGGACTAGGGATTTATTTTTATTTTTTATAAAAAAACAGAATGGAGCTAAGCACAGGCAAAATCCTAGAAGAAAATCTGATTCAGTCTGCTTTCCAACAGACACAGAGACAAATTCACCTTTCAGCAGGACAATAACCTAAAAAAGAAGGCCAAATATACACTGGGAGTTGCTTAACAAGAGGACATTTAATTTTCCTAAGTGGCCTAGTTAGTTTTGACTTAAATCGGATTGAAAATCTCTAGCAAGACTTGAAAATGGCTGTCTAGCAATGATCAACAACCAACTTGACAGAACTTGAAGATTTTTAAAAGAATAATGTGCAAAACTTTTACAATCTCTTAGAGACTTACAGCTGTATTTCGTTGCCAAACGTGATTCTAACATATATTGACTCAGGGGTGTGAATTAGATATTTCTGTATTTCAATTTCAATAAATTAGCAAACATTTCTAAAAACATGTTGTAACTTTGGCATTATAGGGTATTGTGTGTAGATGGGTGAGAAAAAAAAAATATTTAATCAATTTTGAATTCATGCTGTAACACAAAATTGACACTCCAACACAAAACCCACACACATTCACCACACACACACACACACACACACACACACACACACCATTTGCTGTTGCTACTCTGTTCTTTATTTTACACGAATTATTATCTATCCTGATGGCTTGTCACTTTACCCTGCCTTCATGTACACATCTACCTCAAATACCTCATACCCCTGCACATTGATCTGGTACTGGTACTCCCTGTATACAAAACATAAAGAACATCTGCTCTTTCCATGACATAGACTGACCAGGTGAATCCAGGCGAAAGCTATGATCACTTGTTAAATCCACTTTAAAATCAGTGTAGATAAAAAAGGGGAGGAGAGGTTAAAGATGGATTTTTAAGACAAATGAGACATGGATTATGTATGTGTGCCATTCAGACAGTGAATGGGCAAGACAAAAAATGTAAGTGACTTTGAACTGGGTATGGTAGTAGGTGCCAGGCGCACCAGTTTATGTCAAGAACTGCAACACTGCTGGGTTTTGCACTCTCAACAGTTTTCTGTGTGTATCAAGAATGATCCACCACCCAAAGGACATCCAGCCAACTTCACACAACTGTGGGAAGCATTGGAGTCAACATTGGCCAGCATCCCTGTGGAACGCTTTCAACACCTTGTAGAGTCCATGCACCGACATATTGAGGCAGTTCTGAGTGCAAAGGGGGGGGTGCAACTTAATATTAGGAAGGTGTTCCTAATGTTTGGTATACTCAGTGGAGGTCGCATTGTATATGTGATAACTGACAAAGGCCTACACATTTTGGTATGGCAGAACTCTGCACTGCAAAAGACACAGACTAAACTTTTCTAAAAGCCCATTCTCTAGTAAACTAGGCCTGCCAGAAACCTCACCAAACTTTTAATTTTTTACTCACCACAAACCTCTCGGCATGCTGCTCCACGTGCTTGAAGGTGGGGATGGAGATGGGCACGGCCTGCTTGTCGCTGTAGTCATAGCTGAGCTGGGCCGCGCTCTCGTCCACGGCCTCAAGGCCGTCTGCCTCCTGGGGCGGCACAGACAGCACAGAAAGCAACAGCTCCCTCGCCCCGGCCCGGATCAGATCCACCACCTGCTTGTGGGTGGCCCCCTCCACGCTCACACCATTACTGTGGGACGCAGAGTGAGAGATGGCGGGATGGGATCAGTCGGTGCTCATGTTATGCCCATTAATGGTGGTAGTTTTTGGTTAGGCCTATCCTCCAACACCTTCCTCGAAATTATACACGGTTGCCTTATTCTGTCTAGTTAGAGTGACTAGTGACAACGCTCCATGGTATAACTCAGTAACCTGCTAAACTTTTACCATTGATATACAGTCGTTGTCAAAAGTTTTGAGAATGACACAAATATTAATTTTCACTAAGTCTGCTGCCTCAGTTTTTATGATCGCAATTTGCATATACTCCAGAATGTTATGAAGAGTGATCAGATGAATTGCAATTAATTGCAAAGTCCCTCTTTGCCATGAAAATGAACTTAATCCCAAAAAACAATTCCACTGCATTTCAGCCCTGCCACAAAAGGACCAGCTGACATCATGTCAGTGATTCTCTCATTAACACAGGTGAGAGTGTTGACGAGGCTGGAGATCACTCTGTCATGCTGATTGAGTTAGATTAACAGATTGGAAGCTTTAAAAGGAGGGTGGTGCTTGAAATCATTGTTCTTCCTCTGTTAACCATAGTTACCTGCAAGGTAACACGTGCCGTCATCATTGCTTTGCACAAAAAGGGCTTCACAGGCAAGGATATTGCTGCTAGTAAGAATGCACCTAAAATCAACCATTTATCGGATCATCAAGAACTTCAAGGAGAGAGGTTAAATTGTTGTGAAGAAGGCTTCAGGGCGCCCAAGAAAACCAGCAAGTGCCAGGACCGTCTCCTAAAGTTGATTCAGCTGCGGGATCGGGGCACCAACAGTGCAGAGCTTGCTCAGGAATGGCAGCAGGCAGGTGTGAGGCGAAGACATTTGGAGGATGGCCTGGTGTCAAGAAGGGCAGCGAGGAAGCCACTTCTCTCCAGGAAAAACATCAGGGACAGACTGATATTCTGCAAAAGGTACAGGGATTAGACTGCTGAGGATTGGGGTAAAGTCATTTTCTCTGATGAATCCCCTTTCCGATTGTTTGGGGCATCCGGAAAAAAGCTTGTCCGGAGAAGACAAGGTGAGCGCTACCATCAGTCCTGTGTCATGCCAACAGTAAAGTATCCTGAGACCATGCATGTGTGGGGTTGCTTCTCAGCCAAGGGAGTGGGCTCACTCACAATTATGCCTAAGAACACAGCCATGAATAAAGAATGGTACCAACACATCCACCGAGAGCAACTTCTCCCAACCATCCAAGAACAGTTTGGTGACGAACAATGCCTTTTCCAGCATGATGGAGCACCTTGCCATAAGGCAAAAGTGATAACTAAGTGGCTCGGGGAACAAAACATCGAAGTGTTGGGTCCATGGCCAGGAAACTCCCCAGACCTTAATCCCATTGAGACTTTGTGGTCAATCCTCAAGAGACGGGTGGACAAACAAAAACCCACAAATTCTGACAAACTCCAAGCATTGATTATGCAAGAATGTGCTGCCATCAGTCAGGATGTGGCCCAGAAGTTAATTGACAGCATGCCAGGGCGGATTGCAGAGGTCTTGAAAAAGAAGGGTCAACACTGCAAATATTGACTCTTTGCATAAACTTAATGTAATTGTCAATAAAAGCCTTTGACACTTATGGAATGCTTGTAATTATACTTCATTATACCATAGTAACATCTGACAAAAATATCTAAAAACACTGAAGCAGCAAACTTTGTGAAGACCAATACTTGTGTCATTCTCAAAACTTTTGACCACGACTGTACAGTACCAGTCAAAAGTTTGGACAAACCTACTCATTCAAGGGTTTTAATTTATTTGTACTATTTACTACAGGAAATATGAAATAACACATATGGAATCATGTAGTAGCCAAAAAAAGTGTTAAAACATTGTCCTGTTGAAAAACAAATGATAGTCCCACTAAGCCCACACCAGACGGGATGGCGTATCGTTGCAGAACGCTGTGGTAGCCATGCTGGTTAAGTGTGCCTTGAATTCTAAATAAATCACTGACAGTGTCACCAGCAAAGCACCCACACACCTCCTCCTCCATGCTTCATAGTGGGAACCACACATGCAGATATCATCCGTTCACCTACTCTGCGTCACACAAAGACACAGCGGTTGGAACCAGAAATCTGACATTTGGACTCATCAGACCAAAGGACAGATTTCCACCGGTCTAATGTCCATTGCTCATGTTTCTTGGCCCAAGCAAGTCTCTTCTTTTTATTGGTGTCCTTTAGTAGTGGTTTCTTTGCAGCAATTCGACCATGAAGGCCTGATTCATGCAGTCTCCTCTGAACAGCTAATGTTGAGATGTGTGTTACTTGAACTCTGTGAAACATTTATTTGGGCTGCAATCTGAGGCTGGTAACTCTAATGAACTTATCCTCTGCAGCAGAGGTAACACAGGTCTTCCTTTCCTGTGGCGGTCCTCATGAATGCCAATTTCATCATAGCGCTTGATGGTTTTTGCGACTGCACAAAGTTCTTGAAATGTTCCGTATTGACTGACCTTCATGTCTTAAAGTAATGATGGACTGTTGTTTCTCTTTGCTTATTTGAGCTGTTCTTGCCATAATATGGACTTGGTCTTTTACCAATAGGGCTATCTTCTGTATACCACCCCTACCTTGTCACAACACAACTGATTGCCTCAAACGCATTAAGGAAAGAAATTCCACAAATTAACTTTTAACAAGGCACACCTGTTAACTGAAACGCATTCCAGGTGACTACCTCATGAAGCTGGTTGAGAGAATGCCAAGAGTGTGCAAAGCTGTCATCAAGGCAAAGGGTGGCTACTTTGGGTGAACGGATGATTTCCGCATGTGTATTTCCCACCAGAATGCATGGAGGAGGTGGTGTTATGGTGTGGGGGTGCTTTGCTGGTGACACTGTCTGTGATTTATTTAGAATTCAAGGCACACATAACCAGCATGGCTACCACAGCATTCTGCAGCGATACACCATCCTATTTGGTTTGGGCTTAGTGGGACTATCATTTGTTTTTCAACAGGACAATGACCCAACACACCTCCAGGCTGTATAAGGGCTATTTTAACAAGAATGAGAGTGATGGAGTGCTGCATCAGATGACCTGGCCTCCACAATCCCCCGACCTCAACCAAATTGAGATGGTTTGCGATAAGTCGGACCGCAGAGAGAAGGAAAAGCAGCCAACAAGTACTCAGCATATGTGGGAACTCCTTCCAGACTGTTGGAAAAGCATTCCAGGTGAAGCTGGTTGAGAGAATGCTAAGAGTGTGCAAAGCTGTCATTAAGGCAAAGGGTGGCTATTTGAAGAAAACATATATTTTGATTTAACACTTTTTTGGTTCCATATGTGTTATTTCATCATTTGATTTCTTCACTATTATTCTACAATGTTGATTATTTAATTTATTTTTAATAAAGAAAAACCCTTGAATGAGTAAGTTTGTCCAAACTTGACTGGTACTGTATGTTTTACTGTCACATACACCGGATAGGTGCAGTGAAAATGTTGTTTTACAGGGTCAGCAATAGTAGTAGTACAGCACCCCTGGAGCAAATTAGGGTTAAGTGCCTTGCTCAAGGGCACAGACAGATTTTTCACCTTGTCGGCTCGAGTATTCGAACCAGCGACCTTTCGGTTACTGGCCCACTAGGCTACCTGCCGCCCTACAAGGCGGCCTACAAGTTTACCCTGTGGTGACATGCCTCCCTCCTTAACACACGGTGCAGAGGCCAGATGGCAGCAGCATCAGGTGCCTCGGCTAATCTGCCTCTGAGAACCAAGGGGGTTGAGGGAGGGAGGGCAGGGGAGCGCCTGCCTGCCTGCCTGCCTACCACACACACTGATCCCGTCATTACTTATTTATTTTAGTAATAGCAAACAAGAAAGTGAGACAAACAAAGGCTGAGGGGTGGAGGGAGATGGAAGAGAAAGCAAAAGGCAACAAGACTAGAGGGGAAAATCAGTGTTTTCCACAAGTACATAGTAACCAGCCAAATAGAAAAAGCAGCCAGACATTTTTTTTGTCGAAGGAGCTCTATTTTGGTGGCCTCCGGTACATTCTAATGCCTTGATACCATCTGAAATACAAAGCAAAATTATTTAATACTTTATCGAGTTTACCTCCCAAATTGTAAAGATTTGTTGTGGTATTGTGTAGAAAGACATGACTTTACAATTTAAATTATTGAAAATGTATGAATTCAGTGTTGTTGTTAGGGCCGGATTCGGTCGTCAACGAGGTCGGTCGGGGCCGCACTGAAAATGTGTTACATTTCCTCGCTGTCAAAATTTGCTAAACAAATTGTCCTCCATCCATCGTTTTCAGATTTTTCCATGCTCCCTGACTATCTAGATTTAATTGGATGATTTTTGTATTTACTTTTTACTCAAACCACCTGCGGGCTGGATCCGGCCCGAGGGTCGTATGTTTGACACCCCATGCCTCTATATGATCAGGACTATTTTCTATGTAAGAGAACATGAACATCTTTAACATTTAACCCCTCTTCTCTTGAGATTAAAGTTTTACTGCAAGATATGAAATTGCCACAATGTTTGTTCTTCAAATTATTTTATTAAAACAGAAAAATGAAATAGCCCACATTATCTTGAAAAATTTAAGTTTTTGTTTTTACAGGTTTCCGTTTTTTTACAGGTTTTTGCTCTTAAAAATCACACGCCCACAACAATGCTTAAACCACATCAGGAGACCACTTGAGGTCTGGGAATAATCTGAGAAATTTTGACTTTTGGGTGTGGTTACCCTTTAATTGAAGTGCACACCTAGCAAGAGGCTGTTTAGCTGTGTTTTTGTAGCGCACATATGATAGAGTTAGCAAAACAAATACCCACTGGATTGATGAAAATAATCATTCTGCCAGGTAAGCACAGGCTACTTTGTAGTTAACATTTAATTGAGAAGGTTTCTGGGAAAACCTTTATATCTACCAGAAGACTGTTTTCATTAGCATCATTGCTAACAGCTACACAAAGTGGTATTCTCATTGCCTCTTCAGAAAGTTGCAGGAAATACGAATCACTGATGTTCATGTCTTATGATAAACTTGGGCAAATGAATACATTTTCAATACATTTAGTGGATTCGCTACTAAGGTCAATACATGCTTTTATATTGTTGAATTCCGTTTTAATGCCTGGATTCCATGAGGGCCCTAATTACCATATGGATCAGAATGATGGTTACGAATTCCCTGCCGATGACTTATCAGCACCTCACAACCCTGAGCTGCACACTCTGCTCCTTATTCATCAGGACCATAGCCTGAGAGTCTAGAGAGTACCCTAAACCTGCTTCTCAAACTCTCTGACCTGTGTGACCTGTGCCCTGATTAGGTTACTAAGAGGCCGGAAATCTGCCCATCCTCTTGACTCTGCAGGTCACACAGAGACCACACAGGGTACTTTCCACACTGCCTACCTGCAGTCCAGTGGAGTATGGCTCCGGGGTATACAGTGGACTAATATCATGTGGATTATACCCCTTCTCTGGAGCCTATGGGAGTGAAGTACAGGAAGAACATATGGTTCGTATGGAGCAGAATATACACTACCGGTCAAAAGTTTTAGAACACCTACTCATTCAAGGGTTTTTCTTTATTTTTACTATTTTCTACATTTGTAGAATAATAGTGAAGACATAAAACCTATGAAATAACACATATGGAATTATGTAGTAAGCAAAAAAGTGTTAAACAAATCAAAATATATTTGAGAATAGCGACCCTTTGCCTTGCCAGCTTTGCACACTCTTGGCATTCTCTCATCAGCTTCATGAGGTAGTCTCCTGGAATGCATCTCAATTAATTTGTGGAATTTCTTTCCTTCTTAGTGCGTTTGAGCCAATCAGTTGTGTTGTGACAAGGTAGGGGTGGTATACAGAAGATAGCCCTATTTGGTAAAAGACGAAGTCCATATTCTGTCAAGAACATCTCAATAAACAAAGAGAAACGACAGTCCATCATTACTTTAAGACATGAAGGTCAGTCAATACAGAACATTTCAAGAACTTTGAAAGTTTCTTCAAGTGCAGTCGCAAAACCTATCAAGCGCTATGATGAAACTGGCTCTCATGAGGACCGCCACAGGAATGGAAGACCCAGAGTTACCTCTGCTGCAGAGGATAAGTTCATTAGAGTTACCAGCCTCAGAAATTGCAGCCCAAATAAATAATTCAGAGTTCAAGTAACAGACACATCTCAACATCAACTGTTCAGAGGAGACTGCGTGAATCAGGCCTTCATGGTCGAATTGCTGCAAAGAAACCACAACTAAAAGGACACCAATAAGAAGAAGAGACTTGCTTGGGCCAAGAAACACGAGCAATGAACATTAAGACCGGTGGAAATTTGTCCTTTGGTCTGGAGTCCATTTTTGGTTCCAACCGCCGTGTCTTTGTCTTTCTTCAACAGGTTGCAGTGGAGGCCTTGGGATAGTCGTATGGAGTTCAGTAGCAGGACGCCGCCTCTCCAATCCCAGCAACGTTACCGTCTACGACTTTGACTTTAGGGTTAGACTATTCTGCCTCTTTTGCAACGGCACAGTTGTCGGGCACGGCGGAGTCTGGGGGAACCCTCTCCCTGGCTCGGGCAGCCTATGCGACTCCAGCAGCATCCCCACGCGGTAGTAAACTTGTTGCTGACCAGACCCTATTCCTCACCGCCTCCAGATCATCACCAGCCAAAGCTACCCGGCGAGCCGTCACCAGCGGCAGAGGCCCCGTTTGCCTCTAACGCTCTGCCTGTCCCTGAGCTAGGGGATCCTCCATAAGCACCGGCCCTGTCTGCTGCTACCTCTGATGACCGGTCCAGCCCTGACCTGGGCCCATAGGGAGACCCAGCCACACCACTGTCACCAGTTAAGGACAGTACAGTTTCACCTGACCCAGCCATAGCCCTGGTCCCATTCGTTGTGTCCAGGATGCTCCTGCCCAGCGTGCACCACCTGATCCAGCTCCAGTCCTGCTACCGCTGGACTCAAACCCAGATGTGACAGTGGGGGACACACCAGACCTCATCGGGGCCGACCACTCAGACTTCGCCCCCCAGTGTCCTGTCCCAGGGGCACTACCTATTCCTGCTTCTGGGGTCCGAGCTGATCCACCATCTGCTCTGGATCACCAGCACTGCCTCCTGATCTGGCCCCGAGTTTACCGTTGGGGCCTGCTCCAAGGCCTGCCCTGGGCCCTCCTCTGGTTCCTGCATTGGGGGACTTGCCTGTCTCAGTTGGGGGGGGGGCCTGCCTTGGGACCATTGGGCTCCAGCCTGACATTCCAGTAGGGAATTACTTATTTTGTATGCGGCTCATATTTAGGGGTGGCTGTTACGAATTCCCTGCCGGTGACTTATCAGCACCTCACAACCCTGAGCTGCACACTCTACTTCCCATTCCCCACGACCGAAGCCTGAGAGTCTAGGGAGTACCATACAGGTGCCTCTCAAACTCTCTCTGACGTGTGTGACCTGTGCCTTGATAGGTTGTTAGGGAGGTTACTAGGGACCGGACATCTGCCCATCCTCTTGACTCTGCAGGTCACACAATACTTGCAGTCTCCTTCAAGCAGTCAGAGAGAGCAGCAAGCTCATCTCTGTCCTGCACAACAACAGCTGGACTCACTCATATCTCTGGACTTGTGGGATGGTGTGTGTGCCCAAAGTGAGTTGTGTGACATTTGTATATTGTTCTTCATAGTTAGTTACTACTATTGCCTATTGTATGTTGCCCCTCTGTGTTTACTGTGTAATACTCTGCAGGTAGCATATGCAATCTATACAGTCCTTTGCCATTTATTCTGTAAGATTCTGTATCTGCGCATTTGCGCCCTGGTGTATCCATTCGGTATGTGTGTATTCATTACCTCTGTTACAGAACCACTACCATCCCCCATCTTCTTCAGTGTGTTTAAATAAAGTTAATGTGTGTGAACTCTTGGGCTGCTTTATTCCCTTTCTAACCGGGGCGGTATCAGTGGGTCACAAATCAGTAAAATACGTAGAGCCGGGTCGCTCTCTTTCAATGATGCTCTCCTCTACCCATTATTCCTGCAATGATGATTCACCATCGTCATCAATTCTTTTCATAATTCATCTGCAGATAATCGCCAAAAAGCCTATCAGTAGCCTGTGCAAATTAAGGAGCCAAATTAAAGGCTCTCCCACCGATGCTATTCAGTAGGCTACACTGACTGACGAGTCACTCACTTTAGCATCACTCTCTGGCAAGCTCAGACATCCTAGGAAAGGAAACGTAGGAAATACTTTGGTTTACTTGTCCCGATACGATACCATGGACATATAACCACGTTGCATGATTTAGGAATGGCAAAGGGATATAGGAGATCGACTTTATTCAGTCAGTTTGACATCTTTTATAAACTAGTCAACACTTGCTGTTCAGTTGTCAATCAACACACAATAAATAGCCTACTATGCGCCACGACGCCACGTGGCTAAATTGTGGATTTTGACTCATCGTTACCAATTACATTGCATGGGACATGCAAATTCACAAGCATCTAGAGATCTGTATATAATGATGAGATGCTCATGTCTCCTCCCTAACAATTGGAGCCGTTGTCTCAAAGGGGGGAAAGCAGGCGACAAGCTTAGGTAAAAAATAAGACCATAGAAATGCTTCACCTCTTCCTCTCTAATGCATTTCCCTGTCATCACTCGCTTCGTGACTGACAGGTGCCCATCCTATCAATAGATCGCTAGAAGATGTATATCGTTCATTCTAGAGGGAGTGGGCTCGACAGACTAGCGAATTGAAACATTTAAATGAAAAGTACCCTATTTAATACAAAGTGGAAAATGTAGCAATCTGAAAATGAGTCTGTATTGGGAACTTTTCACAAGCTGTTTCAGGGTGACAAAGAATGGGAGACAAAAAAAGGGCTAGAGGGAGATGTAGGCTAACACCTCTCCACAGCACAGCTTTGATGTAGCCCTGATCCTTCTATCAAATCAGAAAAACTATTATCTGTAGCATCTGCCAAATTAATCTCATGAATACCATATATAGAAACTTGAAGGTAGGTGAACTGAATAGGGATAAAGTCAAAATAAAAAGGGACAGTACCAAGAAAGAGTTGCCCAACTTCTGGCTACTTCATGAGAATGTTTCATTTTTCACTCATTGACAAGGGTGGATCTAAATGATTTGAAATCGCAAATAAGATGTTGCATAACTTTTAAGTTTCCCTCAATCAATAGGAGGGTTTGACAACAGCCTAAAGCCATATAGTAAAACAGCGAGTGTGCATGCGTAAACAAACTAACTTTGGTCAACCTACAAGCCTGATCCACTGACGTGAGCTAGAGGTGTAGGCACTGGGGGAATAACTTGACTACACACATCAAGTTTATTTCCAATTGCTGGGGAAGCAGTAGTGGCTGATTAATGTGTCACATGAACACTACTTATCATACGACACAGACAAAGTGCCTAGTTGCACTAGTTGATGGATAAAAACATACTGTTAAGAAGGCAAAGGCTGCATCCCAATGGTACCCTATTCCCTATATAATGCACTATTTTTGACCAGGGCCCATAGTGCACTACATAGGGAATAGGGTGCCATTTGGACACAGAAATACCCTTTTGATGCCTCAGCAAGTTGTCTACCGTTCCTCATTCTTTCTCTCGTTTTGTCATTGACCGAGAAAAGTTTGGTATTGTTTCCATTTTCTTGTTCCTCAAGAGTAAGGCAAACTAACACTCAAATAAAAGTAGAAAAATCAGTGCCCTGAACAGACTGTACTGCTTCTGCAATTACATAAACTGAGTAACTTAGCTAGTTACCTAGTTATTGCCGCGTTCAAAACAACTGGGAACTCGGAACTCTCCGACTTCCAAGGGTTCAAACCAACTTGGAATTCGGGACCCCCCCCAAAAAAGATAATAATAACAGCTCCAACTCGGTGTTGCGACTCAAATCGATTTGAAAGGTCATCCAACTCTGAATTCCAACTCGGAAACTCGGGCCTCTTTCTAGAGCTCCGACTTTCCGATCTGAAGACCACTGGCATCATAATTTCACCTCGTATTTTTCTGAGATCCCAGTTGTTTTGAACGCGGCATGATGAGGAATCCCGAGTTGTATGACCTTTCAAATATATTTTTTCCCAATGGTACCCTATTCCCTATATAATGCCTCTTTTTGTCCAGGGCCCATAGTGCACTACATAGGGAATAGGGTGCCATTTGGACGCAGAAATACCCTTTTGATGCCTCAGCAAGTTGTCTACCGTTCCTCATTCTTTCTCTCGTTTTGTCATTGACCAAGAAAAGTTTGGTATTGTTTCCATTTTCTTGTTCCTCAAGAGTAAGGCAAACTAACACTCAATTAAAAGTAGAAAAATCAGTGCCCTGAACAGACTGTACTGCTTCTGCAATTACATAAACTGAGTAATGTGGTGTAGGAAGACCATATCATTTGCAACTTTTTTAGGAAGGTATGAAAAGTTAATTCCCTCCTCTGAGGTTCTGATTAAAATTAGCTTTTCCTGACTTGAGGTGCTGGCCTTTCCCCAAACATTTTTTAAAACTGGGGTCCAGCCTTGCTCCACCCAGACACACTGACTTGCACACAAATGCACACAGAAATAGGGCAATAACAATGCCCATGGCATGGGAAAACACACTGACCAACACAACTACAAGCAACCCATGACACACAAACACACTTCAAAGCATGATTGACTAGCTACATACAGTCACGGGGGTGATTAGCCTGGTTATGGTAGACTGTCAGACTTAGTAAAACTCCCCTTTCACACAGTTGAGTTGAGTTGGTGAACTGTCTGTCTACAGTTGGTTGATGACAATAACTGACCTACTCACTGTCATTATCCTGTCAGTCATGAGGACACTAGACTGGGAGAGAGCCCTGTCTTTATAATCTCCCATTTAATCAAATTATTAACGTTACCAAGAAACCAATGACAACTCTGACATTCTCAGTTCATGAGCACAGGGTTAAGATCACTCACTGACTGCTCAAACGTACTGTACCTCTGCCAAATTAGCTAGTTAGCTAGCAAAGATCATATTGTTTGTTGTGGTGGTGCGATGATTTTTGAACACACACTACTCACAAATGTGTTCAATGATTGTCGGTCTGGATTTGTTTACTAAAATGCTTGCTAGTTAACGTTTACTAGCTAGCTACAGATAACATTTAAGTCAATTACTGCAGTGAGGTTAACTAGCTAGCAACTTGTTAGCCACTTAGCTAGTTACCTAGTTATTGCCGCGTTCAAAACAACTGGGAACTCAGAACTCTCTGACTTCCAAGGGTTCAAACCAACTTGGAATTCGGGACCCCCTCCCCCCAAAAAAAAAAATAACAGGCTCAACTCGGTGCTGCGACTCAAATCGATTTGAAAGGTCATCCAACTCGGAATTCCAACTCGGAAACTCGGGCCTCTTTCTAGAGCTCCGACTTTCCGATCTGAAGACCACTGACGTCATAATTTCACCTCGTATTTTTCTGAGATCCCAGTTGTTTCGAACGCGGCATGATGAGGAATCCCGAGTTGTATGACCTTTCAAATATATTTTTTCCCAGTCGGAGGTAGTTTTTTCCGAGTTCCCAGTTGCCGGAACGCGCTGAAGTCAGAGATTTCCGAGTTCCCAGTTGTTTTGAACGCGGCATCAGTCATCCCCAGAGGTAACTAGCTAGCCAACTAGCTACCGACCGCTATTATTACGGGTAAAGAAAGCTGACTTACACCTCCAGAATCCTGTCACCCTTTGATATGCCAGCTCGGTCCGCTGCCCCTCCAGGCAAAACAGCACTGACATGCTGAAGAGGTGCGTACAATTCCCCATTGATGCTTCGCAGTTGTCCTCCTTCGCTAACTTGTCCACGAACGTTGAATCCATATCCTGATTCCGACTTTACAATTCTAACCATCCGTGGACCTGACGTCACTTGGGTAGCATTTTCGACTCCAGTACCAACTACCGAACCTGCAGCGGGTCCATTACGGGAAGCCGAAGGGAGAGCCGACCGAATTTCATCGCTTTCAACATCCGCCATCTTCTACTCAATGCCTCCAGTCGGTGTCTAGCGGTTTTAAAACAACAAGAAGAAATACGCTCAGACTAACTCCTCGAGACCGACTCAGAGGGAGTTCTATTAACATGAACCAAGGTGCACCGGTCTATGGCCCGTGACGTGAACGGGCAAAAACGGTGA